TTTGGGATTTTAAAACATGACAATATAAGATTATAAATTGTTCTCGAAGAGTGCTATAGTTGAAACATGGATGTAGAGATGAAAGGGAAATTGCCCTTTTAATTTCAAGCCAAGAAGATCGTTGAAAGGTTTCAAAAATCGGACTGTGCCATTAAATCAGACATGAATTAAGGAGATGAATCATTTTCGTGCATATAATGAGACCTGATGCTCGGTATTCGGAAAAAAGAAACTTTGAAATGTCTTGCTTTTGGAATGAAGAAATCTGAAAATTTTAATGTTTTGGAACAGTAAAATGGGTGAAAACTGGATAAACAGCCAAAAGGCAAATGAATCAGGCTGTTGTCCAGGGCATTGACTGAGAGTCAACCGCAAAACAAAAATAAATATGCGCTCGCCAAATTGTACACACATGTACATCAATGTACACACATGTACATGGATGTACACACATGTACATCCCGAGTTCAACGAAACGAAGATTTTAAATGTACAGCACATCTGTGAGTAATTTTTAAATCCCTGGAAAAACTTTGCCATTTTATGAATGAAAACTCGAAATATATATTCGTTTTGGATGATGCATACATTTTTGAGTGATGTAGTGCGAGAAATGCTGCATTGCAGTACTGAAAAAAAAGGTCGGAGTTCCGGACAACAGCTAATTTTCAGCGCAGTCTTCCTCGAAGCAAAGCCCTCCCAAATAAGTGAGGCTTCGATCAGTGACCTATCATTTAATTTTAAAATGCATTGTATAGACTACTAAGGCCGCTGATAAAAGCCTCTTTGGAACTCAGAAACAGGCTTTAGCAAGATTCAACAGCCACGCAGAGCTGTTATCCAAGACTCAAACATGCTTTTTGATGGAATTTCCGGGAGAATATTCATCCACAATTTTTTTAAAAACATGTATACAAGTTTATCGCTGATTCATTTGGGGAGAAAACTTGATCAAGAAAATTAAACAGTTCAATTATTCTAAACTGTGAGTGCTAACGGCCCGACTCCTACATCCCGGACTCGTTTTTAGGGTGCCAGCAGGCCTACATGTTATTGCATGTGAACCACAGGTTCTTCTAGTTGGACTTTATATCATTTGCGCGAAGAAAAAACACACCAATTTGAATTAATTCCTCTTATAATCGCGAGATGCTTTACTCCTGGGTGATTGCTAACAAAGTTTAGAGTAGCCTTAAGGAATGAAGGTGAATACAGACGTCGTTGAAAATGTACAAAGGCAAGGTACTTAATAAAGAAAATATATACCTATGGACTAGAGTCTCCCTACTACTAATAAAACTGCATCACGAAGTCTCCTTGCAACAGAATGCTTTGATAATTGACGCTGATTTTCAATCAATTGAGAATATCAGGCGGGTTATTTCTGCAAATTTCTATACCACACCAAGCTTGCTGTTTCGCGCATTTAAAGCAACTTGGTCAGCATGTGTAGACGAATTTTCCGTTCTATGAAACGCGACTTTCGAATGAAAAAAAGGTTTTTAAAAGAGCAAAAGACAAGAGAAATGCGATAATCGTTTCCTCTCTGCTTTGAAAAGATAATTGTCCCTATGTATACTGTACTTGGATATGTCTTGTTTTGAATTATAAGATGTCAATCGAATTTTAACCCGAACAGTACAGCACTTGAAACATTGAAGAATTAACACAGGGGAAATTCTTTCGTTCTCCAATAAAAATAAAAGCAGAAACAATTAATTGCAGCATATATATTTATACGAAAAGGTTGCGCGTAGAAATCAGACATGAATCCAAATCGTTAATTTCCCTCGGGAAATGAATTCTTGATGATTGAGTCGATGTCCCCCTTGATTTTAACCTTTAAAGAACCATAAACTTTTGATTAAGCGTAGCACTAAGGGGACTTGTTATTTTATTGACTTTGCGTCTGCTTGCCTGCTCCTTATTTTAAAGAGGCCGTCCCAAAACAAAAAACAAAAACAACAAAATACTGTGGCAGAAAAAAAACCCTACTGTAGATGCTGCAACAATTTATGAACAACAACAAGGTATGAACCCAGAGGCACATGACAGGGTTGCAAGCGATAAACAAGCTGTAATGCAAAGTTGCCTCCCTTTAAGCACCGGAAGAAAACTGCCACGAGAGCAGAAAAGAGTGGATTAATTGGGCAAAAGCGTAAAAGTTACTACTGTAGCAGTACAGAACATTACTCTGGTTTGCAAAGCAGGACGCGTGGCGGTCACATGTATCTTACTTGGGCATGACCGAGCAATTTCTCAACAAACTCGGACACGTGGAGGATCTTGCCCGTGCCGGTCGTAACGAGCAGGAAGGACTCGGAAGACTTCCGGTGTGTAAACGCAAGATAGGAGCCACGAAAAAAAATAAACAAATTTAAAAACATTAAAATAACGTCATTTTCGTATGTTGAGAAGATGGTTTTCGGAAATCTCACCTCCAGGAGTGAGTCGACCCAAGTGGACGGCCATTTGGTTCGTTGGTTCCCCGACAAAAGCGAGACGATATCTGCATTTTATTACAAATACAATGTTGCATGACAGCCGTTTATAAATAAAGGAATAATAATTCGATTTCACACGCGCAAATATTCTGCATTGTCACTTCGAACTGCAATTTTAGACAAAAGGAAGAAAACTGTCGAATTATTGCGAGAGAAAATTCGGCCTAACCGAGAGCAAAATTTATAAATTTCCGGATAAAAATCCAAGAGTCAAAGAAATTATCAGTGAGCCAATTTATCTCAGAGAATTCCGTAAACGTAAATCGTAAACTTTTCGATTTCACCGAAAAATCTTATTGATTATTTTCTCATATCGAGCATATGCAGGATCTGATTACAACGAATTTCGTTATTATTAAATATTGCTCATAAAAAAATGTTTTCAAGGACGCCACGTTATTCGAGTCTCATTGTAACGAATTTTCCGTCATAACAGAGGTATTTTTCTTTCATGTCCCAATGGCGTTGTCGTAACGAGATTATAGTTTACAAATGAGCAATAAGCGAGAGAAAAGAAGAGTCAAATAAATTCGCACTTGCGGAGAAAATCCTGGACGAGTCCCCCGCCTGGGCTTTCTCTCATCTACGCTCGCACGGTACGGTAATGTACTTAAAATAGTTCAATCCCGGCGTAACGCTCAGGCAGATAAAGGCATATCCAGTCTGGCGCCTGTTTTCCTCTAACATAATTAATTAATCATTATGTACTCACTCCGATGCACGCGAAGGAAGTTGGCGGCCAGGCGTAGGATGGACGTCTTGTCGAGCCGCTTCGGAGTGCTCTTGACAGCAGGCAGGATCTCGCCCAGCTCCACGATGTGCTTGTTTAGCTTGTCCCTTCGCAGCTTTTCCGCCTTGTTCCGCATGTCCCTGTAATCAGGGATTACCCCCCGAAGACCAGCATCATCAACACGTAACCCCCACCGCGTGGAGCAGCAGCACAGGCCACTCGACTGGGATCATCGCTGGCTGCACCGATTGAGGGATTACCGCACTCTGGCTAATTAATTCCATTCAATACCGATCCCGTGTCGCCGAATGAAACGCTTTTGCCACGATTGCATAAATCCGCGATATAGAATAAGAAGAATGTGGAGACGTATTTGTAGTTGAANAGGCAGGATCTCGCCCAGCTCCACGATGTGCTTGTTTAGCTTGTCCCTTCGCAGCTTTTCCGCCTTGTTCCGCATGTCCCTGTAATCAGGGATTACCCCCCGAAGACCAGCATCATCAACACGTAACCCCCACCGCGTGGAGCAGCAGCACAGGCCACTCGACTGGGATCATCGCTGGCTGCACCGATTGAGGGATTACCGCACTCTGGCTAATTAATTCCATTCAATACCGATCCCGTGTCGCCGAATGAAACGCTTTTGCCACGATTGCATAAATCCGCGATATAGAATAAGAAGAATGTGGAGACGTATTTGTAGTTGAAAGCTCGATAACTCGAGCATCATCCGGAAATCGATTTTTTTTTTTTGCGTTCCAACATTAATTCCCTGAGGAACAACGTAATAAAAACCTCTCCAACTCAAAGGCTTCTCTTTCCCCCTCAAACCTTTGTAACTTGAATTTTGTGAGGTCTTTTGGCTGTTATTTTTGTGACGCAGGAAAGAGAAAAGCAATGAAAAAAACTGGATCTGTTTTGAAAAGAAGCGGAAGACTAATTGGGCAAATGAACGCTTGCCTGCTCCAAGTTCAGCATCCTATAGACTCATTTAAAAAGCAAATTATAACCCAGGATATCATCATCAACAATTTCCTAAGATTCTCCATCTATGTTTCCCGCAGCAATAAAGAATTCTTGTTTCCCTGACTCAAAACCTCCCAATAAGTCAAATTTTTTCACTGGTCTCTTGGAATTCGACTTTGAGAGGCTTTATTGTACTGTATCTTATTTCATTTCTATAACCTACATTTGAAGTGAATGGTCGATTGCGGGTTAAGTAGAAACAGTTGAACTGTATTGCTAATTGATGATAAACGTCGATTCTGTTCCATCAGTGCTGCAGTTCTTATGGATCTTCTCAAACCGATATGGCTTGATTTATTCAGAACCCAAGAACGAATCTTGCCGCTTTTATGAATTAGGGAAGCATTTATTAATTTCCGAGCCCAAAGGTATATAATTGCTGTATTCCTGCAATCATCATCAATAAAGTAGTACAATGGTACCTCGGATTATGTGCCCTTTCACGTAATTACACTATAGATTTCTCTTTGGATAATAGATCCTGCTTTGGAAGAATATCTGTATGAAAAGTTATCATCTTCTATAAAAATTGAGTTTGCTCTTGGTGATTTTGCTCTCAGTATCATAGGATGGATTTTTTCGTAATCTCTTTTTTTATTGGACTGTATTTTCGTGTATTTTGAAGTGTATTTCCTGTTTTTTTCTGCTATTCAATCTACAATGTTAAAATTTAGTAATTTTTCAGTTTCGAAAAAATTTCAAAGGATGACACCTGGAATCAATGAAACCAATTACAGTATAGTCCTTTTTGGTATTTCTTGAGGGTCTGAGACAAATAAGTCTGGTATTACACTTCTACAAGTTTAAAACATTCATTTTATTTACTTTTCGGATAATAGACTTCAATCGATCATTTTCATTTACCAGAGCACGCCATTCTGCCTGATATTCAACTTCATACTGACGAGGAACAAGTTTTCCAGTATTCTCAAGATTTAATTCCGTGAAAATCCGCTTTTGTGTTTGGTAAAACCCCCATATTTTTTCGTTCGCTAGCCATCAGCTCCTCCCACTCAAATTTAATTTCACGATAATTCTGGTACGGTACAGTATAACGATTCAAGTCGATCTGGTGGAAATCGGAAGAAAATTAAATATACAGGCCGCTACTTTTTTCCTCTGATCGAACAAAAATTGGAACACGCAATAGAATATACAATTGATCGAACCCGGATAATGCAGCTTCTTCTGCAGCGTAACTTTAAAAGAAAAGTCGCGAGATTTCATCTGATATCGAAGACAGAACAATCGAATGTCAGCAGCCGCAAGTACGTCGGTGTCGATCGAGTAAATCAAGGAATACAAAGCAAACTGAGTATTAGTATTTCTTTTTTTCAAGTACGAACGCTCAGTACGGACGTACTGCCTTGAACGTAGCAACGAAATCACTTTTTCGACAAAGATGCGTTTATTGTGCTCAGTTTCAAAAAAACATCGACTCGGAAGACATAAAAATTCCACATTAGCATTTCTATGCGATGGGTGTGGCAAATATCACGATCGACAACTCAACATATCCTGCTATCCTAAAATGTGATTTGATTCCTCGGAAAAATACAGTATGCACCATAATATATATAAAACAGTGGGAATTCCATTATATCAAAGTACGGTATTACAAAATAGTGACTAAGTTATGCTTTACATATAGGATTACTAATCTATTTCAAACTCCTAAGAAGCTTCTTAGAAGAGTAATCAGCAAAGGGTTGATGGATCATTCATTCTAAATTTCTGCGGAAATTTTTTTAATGACGCGATACTTATATTTTAAAATGAAATATCTGCATCTTAAAATGAGCGGAAATACACACAGGGAGGTTGAAAACAAAGCTCAACACAATCGAGAATTATGAAAATGCATTTATGTACGTGCAAAATTTTGCTAACAGTCAAATATCAACAAATGGGAATTTCCTTGAATATTTCAAGCTTAATACATTTTAAACAGCTTCGAATCAGAGGCAAGGTATTTTATCCGGAGAAAAATTGACGCAGCGCGAGTCCGTTGTGCGAACAGGCGAGGGGTTCATAATCCCACCTCCAAAAGAAGCAATAGACTGAAGTGAAGTTTTCTAATCCTAAGAATATGGAAAAACAAAGATAACGTAAATGCAGACCTCAAACAAATCAAAACTGAGGTTTGTCATTTTCAAACAAGCGTGATAAGAAATTGAATAAACCAATAGCCCGTTGAAGGAAGTGATCACCATTGAAATTTTTCGAACATCATTAAATTGATTCCACAATATGTGCAGTTCTGTTAATTTCCGAAATTCATTTCCACAGCAAAACTATTGTCGCCTATTTTATTAAAAGAAGCAAGACCCGCTTCGTTAGATACATTTTTTGAAAGTACTGAGATGAGAATTCGCTAATAATCTTGAACCAACTTCAAAATTTTGCGTGGCATGCATATTTTTAAGACGATTGTAGGACTTCGTACTGATGACTCGCGATGACTTGGGCTTTCGAATAATTGTGAATAATTTTTTAACCTGTTCAATATTTTGATTCAATAATTTCATGGTGAATTTCACTTCCAAAAAAGTATCTCTGGGGTGAAAAGCTAATGAACGTACCTGCTGAGACCCAAAGTGTTTCCAGAAGAGGAAGACGCTGGCTGGAAACTGTACAAGTCATCATACGCTTGCGAATTTTCCAGACACTCGGACTTGATAGTCTCTTCCTTCACCGACGCGGATTTCGGCGACAAACTCGACATCGTCGTCGTCGTCGGGAATTCCTGGGTGCAGAACCGATTGTTGCTCAGCATCAACTTGGGATCCTGTTTAGCTTAAAGCACTACCCTCAGACTCTGAGGCAGAAGGTAAAGAAGTCGTCTGGCGAAAGACCGAGACCTTGGTCTCGAACTTCTGTTGCTGCTGTCACTGCTATCTCCTCTACTCTTACGGCTGCTAGATGTCGACGATGATGGCGACGAGGAAACGCCGTTGATTTGATGGCGTACCAGTGTAGAGTTCGGCGGGGAACCGATTAGCAGTAAGGTTTTCGCTGAAGAATCGCAGTTTGTTGTCGAATCACTTATTGGCAACATCTTCCCTTATCGAACCCAAGAATTTTTAAAATTTTTCAACCACTGACTTGATGTCAAAATTTTCTCCACGGCCGAATCGCGACACAGAGTAGATGGATATTCTTTGACCATTTTTCGACGACCACGGGGTCGTCGAAATTCAGTAGAAAATTCTGGAGAACCTGCGAAGAAAAGAAAATTGCATTCTTGTGTGTCTCATTTCCTGCCCTGACAGGAAAATTGAGCGCGTCGCAAAAAACAGCGTGTGTCCAGTAGTGTTTAGGCGAAAGTTTGATATAAAAAAAAGACTGAAACCCAGTTTTTCGCATCGTACAAAACGTTTTGGTCAAGTTTTCAATTGATACACTGCGAAAAGTAAATAGCGTGAAGCTGAAATATCGAGGCTTAGCAAGTATTAGAAGAAATATATCGTAACTCACTGAAGAAAACAATAGCATTTCGAGTCCTTGAAAGCTCGTCTTGACAGGGTATTTTGAGAACAAATGAATTGAAGTAAACGAAAAATATACTTCTTAGTAAATTTGAATCATTGATACATAATATCCATTTTCCGTTTTTCTGTAATTGCATAGTTTTTCACTTTCGCGCTTTTATTTTTACGCTCTAATTTTGTTTCGACGTGCTTTTCTGAGCTGCGCTTCTTTGTGACATGCTCAGCCATTCAGGCCATTTAATGCTCTTGGAAACCTCAAACAAGAAAGGGTCCACAATTTATTGAAAAGATGGGAAACTTTTACCTGCAACAAATCAATCCAAAGAGAGCATATGAATCGTAAAAGTGCCATATGACCTGAGTGCTCCCGATGCAGCTACTTCTGAACTCATAAAATGAGCCTTATGTATACGGCAAAGTAAGCAAAGATAAAAATCCGAAAGAAATTTGCATTTGATGCGAAAATATTTATACTGTATATTGTACATTCGACTTAATTTTCCACATGAAACCTGAAGAGGCGGGTTGGCGGTCTTTGAAATATGAAGTACAATAGCAGACGAAACGCGTGAGAGCTATTGCTTATTTATGGAAAACGTGATGGAGGTCGGATTCAAATCTATGTCAGTGGAAAAAAATGTCCTGATGATGATTGATCACATGTGATTCGAACAGAATTTAAAGATTTTTTTCAAGTCAACAATCAGGCTGTACATCAGACAATGCAACGGAAAGGGATCTTCTGACAAAAATGCATGATCACGTCGATGTCTTCAGTCCGAATTTGTGAAAACTAGTGACAAGCACTTTCAGATACAAATAATTCAAATTATATAATTTTTTTTTAATACCAAGTATTCTTGAAAACATTTGCGGTCGCTGGGCGCAAAAATCGAGTGAACTTTTAAATGAAGTAGAATAATGGCAAATCAGACCATTTGAATAAAAAAGTGGATCCGTGTTTTTGGGGTTTTAAATGATCATTACTTGAAAAGCTTTCGTATACATTTAAAAAGAATATGTACATAAACGTATACATGGGGTTCATCACGGAGAAATACTTGCGAAATATTATGAGAGGCAGACACACTTCTGCCACGAAACTTCGCAATGTACATTTTTTAGTGTTTTACATGAATTTCCTCTCAACGAATAAACCCTTGGCATGTTCTCGGAAGTGGGATGATCAAATAAATGCTTTTTCTTGCATTTATCCTCTAATCTTTGAAAAATCGGAGAAGTGAGTACTGTACTTCCACGGCGTCGGTGAAACTTGATCCAATGACAACCAACAGAATTATCCCGGAACTGTGCGGTTCACTTGACATTAAATTGCATTTTGAAATTGATTGTACACTTGAAGTAAACGTTTAAAAAAATTTGAAACCTCAGTGCATCGGAAATGGATCAGCAAATAGTGGTCCCCTGGTCAGCATGTTATCATTTTCTTGGAATATCAATTCAGAAACCAATCTTCCTGCGGAGGCCAAGATTTGTATATATATTAGCACAACTTGGTTTAAACTTGGAAGTATTGTTCAAACGAATATTGGGCCGTATATACTCCGTATTACATAAGCAGCTAAAAATTCTAGGTTTGGATTCTCAGCATCCCTATAAATTGTATGTTTTCAATTTATTTGAAAAATACTAGCAGGAAAACCGTTTTAATGGTTAAATATTATAATTCCTTCAAATTAATTGCGAAGGTTATGATTTTGAAAAAAATGAACGATGAAAACACGAATACCTTCCCCATGGAAATAAATAAAACTACGAGATTGTGACAAAAATATCGTAGCTCTTTCCCCTTATTTCGCTAACATTCGTGTGAGAAAAAATTCAAATATTTCCACGTATTAATCAAAAATAATTCTTCCTCGGAAGTTTCTCACTATGCAATTACGAGGATTCGCAAACAAGCGAGTAAATCGATCGATCAAGACCGCACAAAACCGAATCTGGAGTTAAGAATAATCACATTGGTACACGAGTGGGTGTTATACGGATCAACGCACTCAAATTTTCCACAGTTTCAAATAGAAACGAACTTCTGTTGCCGAAAAGTCACATAGCTTTTTCTGCTTAATAATCATCACTAATGAAACGCACGTGTAAGGACTTGATTTTAGTGTAGACTAGGGAAACTTCGCGAGAATATACTGGGCCACATGCGATGGAACCCACGTTTTTCTCCGGAATCCCGACACCGGTTGAAAGGAAGCTGTTTCAATTCATGCACTTGAATCGTGATCAGTTTGAAGCGAGTTTAGTTTGCGAGTCTCGGAGGGGGGGAAGAGGGGATATCTAAAACATTCCTGAATGGAATGTGATGAATCTGGACAAGAAAAAGAAACGGTGATCTTATCCCCCACGTATTTCTGTCTGACCTCATTCATACGGGTTGCATTATTGAGGAAGAATTCAAAAGTTATCGTAACATTTTTTTCTAATCTTTACGAACTGTTTGTGGATATCGATTCGGAAAGTTCTGAAGTGTTCGACTACCTTTTCTTCAAATATTTTTACATCCTTTCATAACATGCATGGACAGAGCGAAGTACAAAAAATGAAAATTATCATTCTTCATTGTTGTGTGAGATATTTTAGATTTTTCAGGGTTGAACTGCAGCTCGGGATGAATGAAATTGTTCTTAAACCATTGAATAAAATCCAGTTTTTGCATCGATGTCAAGGTTGCAAAAATAAGCAATTCTAAAATTGGCAGACAAGTGCGAAATTTTCTGATATTTACGCAAGAAAGACAAAAGTATATCGCACTATTGACCAACTTCATTTTTAAAATTAAGCAGCAGGAGCTTTAGACGCAAAAAAGTTCGCTTTCTGTAGTATTGAAATTCAGGATTTAAAGTCCGGAGTGATTTCACGATATTTTTTCTTATTAAAGTTCATTCCATTTCTCAATATCGTCGTTGTTCCTATTGTGTTCAAGTATAAATAGCTCAACTTTATCAATAAGATAATCATCCCAACACGATTGAAATCTCCAGACCCAATCAAAACGCATGGAAATGAAAACCCCTTTTTTATTTCCTTGAAATTCCACCGTGTAAGATTTATTAGTACAGTACTCGAATTATGATTGTTTTCAAATGTCACAAGTTATAGATAAAAGACATTATTGCGTCGAATAATGTGTTGCACAAATCTTTCAAAAATCCCGCGAGGCAAAACCAATAGGTGAAGGCAATGATCACAGCGTGCCCATTTCTGAGCAGACACGCGTTGAGAACTGGTTTGAACTTGCTTTCTTTGCTCTTTCATCTTTTTGTCGTAAAACTTGACTTCTTGAATATTTAAAAATCCAGAAGAGTCCTTTCAATCACGATCGTTTCGATGCGAGTTGAAGACGTTTGTACTTGAGTCACGGTGGTTATTATGAGATAAACGATTGTACGAGACACTGAAAAGTTGAGCAGCACTTTTGCAACTGGTTTGATTATATCATCCCAGGAATTGACATACCTTCAAAGCATCAAACTTCTAGTTTCATTTAAATCACTGTAGATGAAACTTTTGATTCAGAAGATGATGGATTTATAGTCGTAGCAAGATTGCTTTCAGTGATGGTAGTGAATTCAAGGTTAGGCAGCAGCAGATTCAAATATTTCATCTCAAAAACTGGAATCATTTCTTCATGTTGAGGAATATTCACTGTGTAAATCAGAACGAACCACTGGAATATGCCGTGAATTTTAATTGCATAAATTATCAAGATACACTTAAATTAATCGTATAGGCGTGATTCAGGATAACTTCACATCTTCAAGATGATGCGACTATTAAATTATTCAGCTTTTCCTTGGATGATATTTTGATGAATGTCCACGTTAATTGAAGGTTGAGTTTCACATTTTCTGAAAAACTAAGCGCATTTTTTCAGGAATTAATAAAACTGGTCATCTATTGAAAAAATATAAATAAACCGAGCAAATCGACGTTATCGTTGATTGAAAAACTAACTGTGCACCCGTAAGAGAATTTTCGATAAAAACTTGTTATTAGGGACAAAATAAATATCGGACAGAGCTTAAACTGTTCATTTCCAGTATTTTACAGTACAGTACTTTAATTTTAATTTGTCAGGTGAAAAATGAGGTTTGATGAATGTGAATGAAAAAGCTCAAGTGATTTCGAACCGTCAAAGCACTGCAAAGTAACCTTCCAATCTCGCAGAAAAACGTGATCCAACAAGAACGCGTAACTAATCTAGTTATATCCACACACCCTCGAAGGATTAGTAATGAGAAAAAGATGGAGATTCATTGTAATAAATGAGAATGAATAAATAAAAGAAAATCGTCACAGTACTTCTGAAAGTTCGTCCTTCGGAAGTTTACCACGGGCATTATGTTCTCTACCGTTTACACAGGAATTCTCCTATACAACAAAAACAAAAAAGGGATAAACGGATATAGAAGCAGAAGACACAGATGTGAATAAAGCAGTACAAATTTGTCACTAGATCCCTCTCCGCATTCCGGGGAATGTTTGCGAATCGTGATTGTAATTGGCATTTTGATTGGTAGGGCTCGATTTAAAGGCGCTCGATTTCGAAAAGCTCAATAATCTACTCAAAAATATGACAGAAAATATATTTGCAATAAATATATAAATTGGCTGCCATATTGGAAAAAATAGAAGAAACTCATTTTCTTCTTTTAGCTAATTTAGATGCTCTCATTCTAAATCCTCCATCTATTCTTCTCTTTTTTTAATTTTTGGCAAATTGCACCGTGTGCGCAAGCTAGAATCTGCATGAGGTGGATTTCACTTGAATAAAAACAATAATTGTCTCGTTCAACAATAAAAGAACGTTGTTTGCTTAATAATCGTAGATTCTGCAAAATAATATAGAAAAAAGTTGAAGGTTTTAATTTCTTCGAACCGAGAGTCCGGCATTAATTCCGGTCGAACAGCAGCAGCGATGATCATCAAAACGCGCGTGTCACTCAGAGATGTCGGATCGTTACGGGTTCCAAGGGTTAAATGGGGGGAAGGGATTTCAGCCACCATCGCAATAGACCCCGGAGCTCTTCGGGTATCGACTGAGCCACAGGTTAGCAGAACCCCGGGACGACTACACGAAAGCAGCACATGAAGTTATTCGCGAAAAACCTCCCGGTTTCGTCCCCGCCGAGCTCTCTTCATCAACCGGATGCGCGTATGTACTCCGGCTTTTTTTCCGCATGCTCTGCAAAATTCTCTTCTTTCTCTTTCTCTTTGCACTCCACAACATATATATATCGTAGTGTAGTGCATTACTGTATACTGTACGTGAATCCAGCGTAGAACACGCGGATGAAACGAATCCCTGTTTTGTTTAAGCCGAAAGGTGCCAGAAATGTTGTTGTGTATTTTTTTTCGAAACTCCTGGCTTGATTTTTGTTTTCGTCTCCCTTTTTTTCTCTTCTTGCGACGCAGATGTGATGTGTCGACCTTTGGCAGCTTTCGGGAGGTAAAATTAGAACCTTCTTAGCGACATGTTGTTCGATTGTTTTTCCAGGTCGTTTGATGCCTGCGGCGGTTTATGTGTTTATGAATCCGACTGGGAGGAAAACCCCATTTCCGGAAGCTTTTATAGATCCCTCAGTGTCTTTCCCGGTAGTTTCAGGTCAGTGGATACCGCATATAATTTATGTGATGAAAAGCTGAACTTTTGCCTAGATGAACTGAATTAATGAAATCTTGGGTTCATTGGCCTACATTCAAGATCAGGTATACGAAAGGAGACCAGGTCAGAGGAAAATAAGGCAGATAAGTCATGTTATGAAAAAATAATCCATCGGAATTTTTTCTCAGGTTACTTCCTTGCATTTTTGTATAATTGAGCATCGCACGCATTTTTTGCGAAGCCCACTTTATTCGAATTTCGATCGATGGAATGTGTCAGAGAAAAAAAACGTAATCACTGTCACAAGCAGGTATCAATCGTACTTTCGCCGCCGAACTGTCAAATTTTGTCACGGCAAAATGCTGATTTTTCTTGCTCAAATTGCTGCTCAATGCCAAGCTTCGGGGATTATTATCATATATCCTGTATATTTGATACATCGGGCGTTGTACAAAGGGCACTTTTTTTATCCACCAAAAGAGAAACGATTAATCAATAAGCGATACGATTTTATTCCGATTCAGTATTTATATTTAGTCAGTATTTAAACGCATATTATGATCGCGTTTTCATTCAAAGTACAGTACATGCAATGAGTATTAAAGCATTGGAAACGTCGAAAAAGCATGTTGCGATCATCCACTTCACGTCACAAAATGTATTTTAAGCAATCGAGAATTATTGTTTCAGATTCTTTACAATTTATCAGCTGCTTTAATGGTGCAGCGTTTTGCTACAGACAAATACAAAAGTCCATTTTGTCCAAAAATTTCCTCTACTACTGTTCTTTTGAAGATGTGTCAAGGTGAAATCATATGCGGGAGATTTTCTCGGAAGTGTATAAGTTCTCACAGTCTTCTTGCTAATATTTGCTCATACAACAGTTACTTGCTATAATAGGGCATGTTTCCATGTGTCTAATCTCACACCCCCAGGATTCAGGAGCGGAAAGATTGCTTCATTTTTTTCTGGCTGAATATTGGAATAACTAAAAATTCAAATTGTTTTTTAAATATGAAATTTCTATTGGTCTAGAATTTTTTACATTCCCACTAAGCCAGCGATTTTTGGAGCCATTTGCACCATTGAACCGTACCTAAATACGGTACATTTCATATGGCGCCAATGGCGGTGCCTTTTTAGAAATCATAATTATTCGGCAAAGACATTCATTTCAATTCCGTGTAGAGTATTTAAATTCACACTCGGTCTCATCCTCAAGTTACACGCAAATTATTCCTGGCCTCGTCTTGTATTTCTTGCATCTCAATGCTAAATGATTCATTAAATTCCAGTTTTGTTTTCCGAATTTTTCTGGAGCAGTGGCCCCTGGGTTCCTGGAAAACTGCTTGAGAAACTCTACAATAAGCTAATAATCGTTAATTTTCGCAGGTTATGATGGCTTGACACTCGTCCTTGGTTGTTTACTCGAGCTCTCGAGTTTAGAGAAAAGAAAAGCGTGTTATAAAATGATCAGCATTATTATTTTTTTTTTGAAGAGGGACATTCTTATAGATGGAGGCAAGTCGTATTGAAGATAGGATAATTTTCATGAATTATACGGCCTGACTCCGATTCGATTTATTTTGTGAATTCTGGATTTTGGGATTTCGGTCGCATAAGACCGAGTTCAGTCTTCGATGGAAGCATTTCGAACGCCCTGAAGTTCAGGCAGTTATTTAAAAATGCAATCTCGATAATTGGGACCACATACTTCAGCACAGAATATTCATCTACGTGAGATGATATAGCCGGACTAATTAGGCCACTCCAGGTTTTAAAGGTTACGAGCTTTAAGTTTAATCCTGGGAGTGGGTTCATAATTAATTCGGGGCGATATATTAGATGAGAGAACTGCATTGGAATGACACATAATGAGTTCTTGGGTGTACTTATATAAGCACAAAAGGTAGCAGTACTTCAATTTGGAACCAAGCTCTGTTCTAAGCATCAAAAGACCGGTTATTCTCAATAAAACTAAATACAGTACTGTACACTAATTTACTACAGTACTTTCCTAATGCGCTTTCGCCATTCTAGGATTGAGTGAAATATTCCTCTGCAAATTTCGCAGAATCGAATTCGACCCATTGCGGTCGGATTGGCAGAAGTGATCAATTTTTCTGCGTTTTCCATTCCGATCGGCCTTCGGGGATTCCATTTTTGCGCTACATTGCTGAATGTTATCCTGAAATTGCTGAGCGGGAATGAGCACAATTTAGGGGTATTATTGAAAACAACATTTAAAAAATGGCGTTTATTGAGTGTACCGCTAACGCATCAAGTTCCTGTGTTAGACTCAGAAGTTTCGCTCCATAAAAAGTTAATTCAAGGTCATGAAAAAACACGAAAACCATTCCTCGGACATACACTAATCCCGTTAATTTTTCTCTCTTTTTTTGTGAGTGTAAGATCGATTCTTATAAAAAATCCTTCAACTTCTTCGTAGAAAAGACCTGTTTCACTCATTTTGAATTTATTCTGTGAAACGAATTGCTGAGTTTTTCTTAACTTCATAAATGCAGCACCCAGAAACCAATGAATACGTTTATGTGTTAAAATAAAAAATGAGGCTCATTTACCCACATAAGAGTGATTTAGCATTGCAAGATTGAAATCTAAATACTGTATATTACTAAAAAAATTAAATAATGATGTACAGAGTAGAACAGCTCTTACAGACCATAATTCTGTCAGCAGTGCCTTAAAATTTGCGCAGGTAAAGTTCGGTTCCAAAGAAATCCATACCTGCGTTCGATCTCCGGAAACAATTTAGAAGCGGGTCACTGTAATCAACTAATACAGCTCGCTGAGGTCGATTTTCTTCTCGAGACATAGTTGAGATTTTTCCATCGATTTAAAAACTTCGGGTATTTCTCAGGAACTTACGAGTGTGTTTCTAGATTCTAGGAGATGTAAGCATGGTTCTTTCAAGGTCAAATGACGACCTACACCCTTATTTTTCTGGCAAAATGAAAACATCCTTCACGAGAAGCTCAGGCTAAAGAAGGCAGATACTGGGTTAAATCCGGTTGGAGACTGAACGCGGATGTCGGTTAATGCCGAGGATGGGAAGTATGTTTCCCAAGAAAGATGGATCATTCCTCTCTCTCGAAACAGAAAAATAAGACAAATTTGACAAGCCCACGCAAGCATCATTCAGGTATCCAAATATGCCTTCGAATATGACTAAATCCTTGAGATAGTTTCCCGAATCACTTGAGAAGCACGGGGAGATTATCTCTTACCCGACAACCAACTTGGAAAGTGTGTTTGAGTCCCAGTGACTTGGTTTCAATTCAGCCCCCCCCCCCCCCCCCCCCCCCCCCCCCCCCCCCCCCCAGTGTTTGAGTCCCCTTATTTTGGTTTTAGTTTCCCCCCCCCCCCCCCCCCCCCCCCCCCCATTTTTAATATGCTTAGTCACTATCTTAGTGGCGTCAAAGTTTCTACGGTACACGATGTCATGCCCCGCCCAGTTACACTTGAAACAAAGTTTGGAGGAAACACCGAAAAAAAATTTATGACTGCGATGAGTGGTGGAAAACGTTATCGTGTTGCTAGGCGACAGCTGTCGACAGTGTATAAGCAACGTGTACTGAGTGCAGCCGGTAAAAACCGTTTTACTGCTGAATTTCTTTGGAAAAAAAAGAGAAGCTTTACGCTGAGATCTGGAATGATTTTTTCTCGCTGCTTCGGAGAACACGTGCTGATGAAAATTATTCCTTGTTGGAGTACCACCGGCATTTTTGACGTTTTTAAGCAGAAGGAATTCGATGTTTTTAATTTTTTCAAGTGGGGGAAATGCCGTTTTTCAGCGATCATCCATCAAAATTGATAATTTTTTTTTTAATCCCGGCAATAATGCGGAGAATGTTCCTACGTGTTTTCTGCCCTCATCTCAGCCCATTATATCTTAAAATTTTTGTCAAGGTCAGTAATTCCAATTTCAACCGCAGATTTGCAATGAAGAATATTTTGTCAGGGAAAAGGTTTTCACGCTTTATTCGTGGTTCGTTTGGCATCACTGCTGTTCTGTACTTTCATGAAAGATTTTTTGTGATTCAAGTCCGTTATGCGATCATTTACGAGCCAAATCGTCGTTTCCACTGATTATGTTCATTACTAACTGAAGTTTTTTGTTGTTTTATAATGACTGCCAATCAATATTTTGAAAATATTTAAAAAAAAAAAAGTCACGACTAAGAAAAGCTGGGTGCATGAAAAATGGATGATGAAAATTTGATGATTTCCGAACATCAATACAGTATCCTGAAAATTTGCGGCATGGTGAAGTTGAAATGACGTCAATTAGATGTTCATTCCATCCTCTTTCAAATGATTTCCAAGTTTCTCGTCTTGGGTGTGGATTGATTTGAACAGCAATTTTTTTTTCCGGTCCACCCTCTACAAAATTATACTTGATATTTTGAGCATTGTTGTTCTTTGAAGCATTTTTCTTATGCAACAAAAGGCAACATTTATTTATATACATGACGATTCAAAAAAATATAGCAAAACAGATAATCATATGGAATCATCTTTGTCCAAAAATGGAATTTTCCATTAAAAATGTCGAAACATGAGAACGCATAATCGCAGAGCTCAAATATGATGGGCGTGTCACAAAATTTTGCATCATTACTAGGAGATGAAAAAAATTGAAGAGCGTTCATTTTGATTATTCTTTGGTGGAAGCTTCGTAAACTGTGAACGTCAATGTTACTGCATAACTTTCACAAATTCACTAGATTTAAAAGCAAAGCATGTAGTTGTGGCAAAAAACGCCATGACGGTGAATCAAGAACAAAACATTTAAAAATAGATTCATTTTTTTTAATCGAGCCGATTCAATTTTTTTCATAGATGTCGCATGAGGAGGAACGGCTTCTGTTTGCACGTTAACCATTCAAGCAAAGCCGAATAAATTTTCCGGAGCTAGCAAAATAAGTCATTGATTCATATCAACTATTTCCACGAAAGCAGGATAGCAGGCGAAGAATAATAAATTCAAATGTAGTGGGTTTTATCTTCCTCGCTTCCTGTTTGTTTTTTTAGTAGATAAGAATCTCTTAATGAAAATTTCCCGGTTTCTCGATCGTTCTTGACAGCTAATCAATTATTTTTCCTGCATGCAATTTTGTTCTGAAAAAAGATCCTGTCGTCAAGGGTACGGGGAGAGGGTTTCCAACCGGTGCCAGATGTTGAGTCGTTTTCTTCACCCTGAAGTGACCCAGTTTTCAAGTGAAAAATTCAGTCGCCAACGATCTATAGAAGTCTTCGTGTGTTCAAGTAAAATATAGCACTGCACTGTAAATGTATTCTTTACATAGATTGCGAGGATCAAGCAAAGCTCGGCGAAGGTCAAACAAGTTATGCTGAAGAGGAATAACGAGCATTAATAGATGTAACCATAGAACATTGTAATCATATTTCTTTAAACGTGTCCTGAGGGTTTACCTGGTATTCGATCTGTGATTAGAAGTCTCATTAGTGCAATGAAGATAAGAGCGGCTCATTCTGCACCCATGATCATTAGTGTGCAGCAGATTCATTTATAGGATTATTCCTGAGATTGTAATAGTCCTCTACCATATTGCCACGTTGTAGACAGCGAACGCGTGATGACTAATTAATGGTACAGATTTTTGAAAAATAATTTTTTTCAAGGTTCCGATAACCCATATTCATTATTGATGACAAGGAATATATTCTCTCCAGTTCAACTGCCACGTGATTCCACAGTTATTACACAGCAGAAGAGACACATTCATGCTGAATTTTGTGTATGATTCGTTTATGCATGGGGGAAAGGTTTTTGGGGCACGTAATTATAGTATGTTTATGAAATGCAGTATTTAAGTTAAAAGAAGCTCATATAAGACCCTGGAACGGGTCTAAAATGCCTTCTCAAACGGACTTAAGTCATTCAACTCCAGCTCAATTTTCTGTTTCGGAAAATTTGGGAAAGAGGAGCAGATTAAAAAAACCCCATCGAAGAAAGGGCTAGAGATATTTATTATTTGCAGTCAAAATAAAAAATTCTAAAGGTTGATGCGCATGTTCATATAGATTTATTCTACGTTTGACGTCAAACCTAAAAGAATCAGCCGATGCCTCCAGCTTTTCTTACATTGGAAAAATTGTAAATGGCCGTCTATTCTTTTTCTGTGTTAAAACTGTGTTCGTGTTCACACTGCAGAAATATGTATAATGACTAATTTTGGCTTAAGTAACGTAACGTATTATACTAATTATTATAGCATTGCTGGACTTGCTCTTTTCTAGTTCACTGCTCGATCCCGCTGATGTCTCCAAAACATTTACACTAAGTAAAACAGCATTTCTGCATAATTAATACGCTTTTCAATTTTGTCGTAGGAATATAGATATTTTTTAACTAATCTATATCAATGTGTTTAAAAATAACTCTTGACCAGTTTCGTGGGGTGACGAAAAAATGAAGAAAATAACCTGAAAGTATTTTCTGTCAAGAGCGTCCATTTTTAAAAGATTCAGCAAGATTTTTCCGGATTCATGTACCATACTTATACAGTAAGTGAAAATCAACTCGAGGTTTCTCAAAATGTTCTCGAATTTCCATGCAAAGGTCTGGTCGGTCTATGGATTCACTATTTCGAAACAAAAGTATTCAGGATCCTTCTTCATAATTTATTCGAATAAATTCTGACAAAAAGTTTGGAACGCTTACGGTATGCGAAAATACTGTACGAGTATAGAGTATGCGAACGTCGTGTACTTTTTCGAAAAAGCCCGAAAAAACATTAGATGAGTTTTTAATCATTCCATCAAATCTTCTCAGCGTTTTAAACTTGCGAAAATTAATTTTCAAGCCACCAAACCAGCTCGAATTAAAGAAACCAAAATAAAAAACAAACCACGCTCATTTTCACGGTGGAACATAAGCACTTCTTTGTGTTGAAAATTGGAATACTATTTTCTGAGAGGGCTAACAGAGAACCAACTGGTGAACTACAGCATAACTACCGATTTTCCCGGAAAACTGTGATCCGTTTATACGCCGACAACTTTTGAAACTTCCACAGTAAATGCAGTACCAAGTACTCTGAGTCTATCTCTGTGCGTCACGTTCCGCTGGCTGTCGATCACTAAGATAGTAAGAACTGTGTCCCAGTAGCCGAGTTTCCAAAACTTGTCCTCGTTCACTCATAAACAGGGATTCTGGTATATCCAGACCCTGAAGGAAAATAAATCGACAGTCCTCAGAATTGAACATTTACGCCCTGGAATCACGTATTCCTCAAGTCTCCCAGAAAAAAAAACGTGGAGAAAACTTACGTGTTCTAGACTTCTTTTTTAATTTTCAATCTTGTATCGAGCATAAAAATGTCTGGTCTACAAACAACATCCAAAAAACATTGACTTATTGTAGCTCCCTAAATTGATCAGAATTGTTTGTGGACGTTGCGAATATTCAAAAGGGATAATAAATACTTTTTCGGAAAGTAAAGCCGGACTAGTATTTTATCAATCATGGCCTATTATCCTGTGTTACGTATTTTTACAAGAAAAGAGCGATAAATGCATGCATTTAAATCAGAACCTTGTACGTTCAACGTTTTCGGAGAGGGAAACCTTTTTTTGCGAGATTTTAAAATACTGTACTGCAGATCAGTGAATAAGCCCTTCTCGTGATGAGCGTAAGAAGATCAGAAGAAACGTCGCTTTCTATATTCAGAAGATTGTCAACAAAGACACCGAAGGATGGACTAAAAAAATCTGCCCTATTTATAAGGGAGGCTTAAAAATGTGGCTAATATTCTGAGCATAACCTAAAAATAATTCTACGATGGATTCAATGAATACGGAAACACTCGGTGAATGCACTGCATCATCGAAATACTAAAGATGTGCAGCTTCTTAATGTAAAAAGATTTAGAGTCAGACAAAGGAAAAAACGTTGAAACGAAAAAAAATTCCCTCGATATTCCTCAAGTTGAATACAGGCATTCAAAACTTTTAGAAATCACGAAGTCAATTCTGAAACTCCATCTTATATACGTAAAAGCTCCAGTTACTTCTCGGTCAATAATCACGATAGAAAAACAAGTCAAAATTTTAATTTATTTGAGCACGTACGCAGCCCGAAAATTCTCCGCTTGAAAATATTCAATTTCGGGAAATTCGGGTGCGGCCTCTACTTACAATATTTGACCATTATATAGGCCGCATCACAGTTATGCCTTCATTCCTAAGCGGTATTTACTCGAGATGATGCAACACCGATTAAAATACTGTATTCAAATTACGCTTAAATTGGAGTTATTTCCGACTCGTGCATCACTTACATGCACGTGAACATTTTCTTCAATTCCCTAAAAAAAATTTTACATTTCGATATGAGCTATTCTTAGTTTTTTCTATGCTTCGGCGACCTTTTCCTTCAAACTTTTTTTTCGAAAATTTTGCTTCTCCCTGAAATCGCTGCTTTTTAAAATCCGGGTGTGGCCTATATACAGTAACGGCATAAGTACACCCGCAAGTTGAATACGTTACAGCAGCTAAAAACCTCATCATGACTTAAAAACGCCGAATGAATGAATGAATATGGACGTGAGAGAAGTTGTAACATGAACATGAAAAATCCAGTTGATGACGGGAGAGTCACAGGACGTAAACAAAATACTGTACCTAGAAAAATAAATAAATAAATGAATAAAAGAAAAAAGTATTGTAGTGTTTTCAGGAAGGGTTTATGACTCTCATCGCACTTGAGGCAACCAACAATTCCCTCGAGTCTCCAGCTCTCAGCAAGAATAAATGGGAACAAAACAAAAAAAAACTTGCGGCAACCTTTGACGCACTTACAACGGATTCTTTGTTATCTGAATACTGTCTGTTGCAGTCGCAGTCACATTTATTTTTCTCACGGTTCGTCTGCTGATCCAGAGCCGCCAGCAAACATCAGAAAACTCAACGCAAAGCGAGACCAACCAAATCGCACGCACCTACCGCGTGCTTCACATAACGGCTTTCAAATATCACTACTTACTCGGCAATAAAATTTATCTGTTAAGCCCACTGAATTTGTCGTGTAGCAGTTAATAGCATTGGCTGCTTCGATGAGTTAACAGAAGCTCAAGCACGAACTGCTTGGAGTTGAGTGGAAATGACACAAAGAGAGTTGCTTCATTTGTCAGTCGTTCCAAATAAAACAGTCCGAAAAGCCTAGCCTCTAATAATAAGACGTCTGATAATGATATAAAGGGTCGGTTAATAGGTAATGAAGCGCATATTAGTTCTGAACCTTATCTCTTCTCAGTCGCCCAACAATGAGTGCAATGCGACGAAATTAGGTGTACCTAACACAATATATGTTCTATACATTTTTTGATGGTTTTAATGTTACAAAAGGTTTCAAATCAGCTTTTTAATATTCTTACTGACATTTTCGGATTTTTTTACACATTTCAATGGTGAATATTTTTTATCCTGACATTTTTTGATGCGAAGCGTGAAAGTTGTCCTATGGTGTCAATTGGTGAGCAAAAAGTAGCACAATTCATGGCGATGAGTTAAGAAAATTTATTCAAGATCAAGAAAGGCCTGTTTCAAGAACAGTATTCTTCTTCCACGTCAGTGATTTCTAGGATTCTGACTTAACTTGTACGGATATGAACAACTTTCAGTTCAACGTACTGAAAAAACTTTGGCACCATCCTTCTCAATATGCGCCGTATTTCTTCAAATTCTTATTCATAAAATTAACGGTTCATTATTGAATAATTTGTGACTAAGATGGCTCTCACTGGAATAAAAAATTCAACAAAAAACTCGGAGATTATTCCTGAGAAAACTGGATTAGTTTATTTTGTCAGGCTTTTCGGATCGGAGATTATTATTCTGCAGACTATTACTATATTTCCCAGCCAATTATCCATTACTTCGCGTATAATCAAGACTTGGAATAGAGAAGAGTCAGCGGGTTGTTAGAGTGCAATGCGACGAAATTAGGTGTACCTAACACAATATATGTTCTATACATTTTTTGATGGTTTTAATGTTACAAAAGGTATAAAATTAGCTTTTTTTTTAAATATTCTTACTGACATTGACTCGGATTTTTTACGACGTTTCAATGGTGAAAATTTTTATCCTGAAATTTTTTGATGCGAAGCGTGAAAGTTGTCCCATTGTGTCAATTGGTGAGCAAAAAGTCACAGAAGTCATGGCGATGAGTGAAGAAAATGTATTCAGGATCAAGAGAGGCTTGTTTCAAGTACAGTATTCTTCTTTCACGCCAGTGATTTCTCGGATTCTCACTCAACTTGTATAGGAATATGAACAAATTTCAGTTCAACGTACAGAAAATAATTCGGCGCCATCCTCAATGCACAGTATTTCTTCAAATTCTTATTCATAAAATTAACGGTTCATTATTGAATAATTTGTGACTAAGATGGCTCTCACTGGAATAAAAAATTCAACAAAAAACTCGGAGATTATTCCTGAGAAAACTGGATTACATCAAGAAATTCCGAGTGCTGACTTGAGAATCGATGTTTTCCGGACAGTTTATTTGGAACGGTGCAAGAAATTGATTTGAAAACGCTGCGCACAATTCGGATCTAGTTTCATAAAAAAAATTGGAGCAGAATCGCTCTCTCTTCACTTCGACATTTTTCAGTCATTAAATAAAACTCAAAGATAAATCTGAAGTGATGTGAACCAGGCATACGCGTTCCAACCAACGGTACAAGATTGGATTGCAAGTGTTTAAAAGTACAGAGTGATGAAAAAAAAGATCATCAGTGGCTTCGATTCATGCAATAAATGATCGAGGCTAAGAATAAGGTTATCATGTTTGGTGCATAATTGTCATATTCATATAGGTTCGTCACGTGGTTCTCCGTTGAGTCAGACAGCATAAGCCCGGAAAGGTTTTCAAATTCATGTATAGTATCTAACGCCGCGAATTTCTTTAATGCTATTTATTTTAAACTTTCTATAGGAAGCATATAAAAATGCATCAAACTGATGCATTTTTTTTACATGAATATAATTCCTTTTGTGGCGTTTATCCATTACCCTGATGTAAAGAGGCGACTGTGTCTAGCCCATTGGCACCCTTAGTCCCTTACCTTAGGAAAACGTTAGTCTATTCGGCCTTAGTCGTTTGCGGCTCTTAACTGACCTTGTTAATTCAAAATGCGGTGTTGTTTTAGCTTTTACAGGTGTTGGAGCACATTGAAAATTATTCAGGGGGTGTGGGGGGGTTCTGCATCCTCAAAAAATTTTATACAGTACAGCCTTTTCTGGGGTTAATTTGTGGAATATTTCAGCTATTCTTCTTTGCGAACAGTCCTTTTGCAATATGACATTTCACGTTTAAATATATTTATGATGATTATTCTTCCATGCACAGACAACTTTCGACTTTTAAAATCCCGATTTCACAAATTTATGAAAGAATATGCGACATGAAACCGTTCTCAAATTAGTATAAATCTTAGTATTATGTGCCAATGGTGTTTGGCTACTGATAAACTAATATATTGAATTCATTTTCTTCATCTCCGAAAATCCAGCGAAAAATAATTCGGCGTTGAGGGCATTTTTATCTTTTTCAGCAATTTCAAATCATACAGAAATACAGCTTAGTTTTCAAGAGCGGCATGGTTTTATGTTCTTAAAAATTCAAAAATAAGTGCATCAAATGGATGCTTAAAGTCTGCGAAGACGCTGGATTTCCTTGTTGATGTAAAGTTTATAAATATTTTCCAAAGTTATTCTAAACAAGCTTAGAGGGTTTGCAACCTTCGAATCTTCAATTATGGAAGAGGCCCTTCCTGAAACTGGACTTTAGTCGACAAAATCGCAAAAGGTTAACGCCGCAAAAAGTAATGAAGGCAGAAGGTTAAGCTTTGGAAGCGTCGTCTCTTGACTTTCCATGAATGGAATGTAAAAAGGGAAAAGGCATGGAGTCGGGACAAACAAGTCGATCACTGAACATAAAATCACACCGAATTCTCAGACTCAGAGAGCTTCCTTTTCAAAAATCGCAAGTACCAGTCTATTACTCAGTTCTCTCTACGTAGAAAGTTTCACTGTGTTGAGACTCGCTCGCGGAACACGTTGCGTTTACCGAAGAAAGTCGTCGGTACCCCAGTGCCGTTGTCCCAGGGGCCAAGACCAGTACTGGCACGGGAACTAGTACTGACACTGGCACCGGCACTGGCTCAAAAGCCACTCGACAAGGAATCAGGAAAAAGCGAAAGAAGCGGTCGAATGCTGGCACGCACGTACTCGCTCCAATGAGTCCTGTGCGCCCGCGCGAAGCACGCAAACACGCGGCATGCCGAATCGCCGCCCGACACTCTTTTTTTTTTTTTTGGTGTCGACTGTCGACACTGGTCGTCATCGTCGCCCATCTTCTTTCCGTCGACGACTTCGACAGGAATGATGTTTCTTTCGTGCTGTGGAGTGGGCATGTATTTACTGTATGTGCAGAAAACGGCGACAATGACAGTATTAATGGGACTGTCCTGCTTGTTATCGAGTGCGGTTTTTTGCGGGGTGCATAATTTTTCAAAGCAGAGATGACATGATGCATACCGCATTTTTTTCGAAATGGGACAAGTCGTTTAATTCCATATATTCACGCGCATTTATGCGAAAAAATTCGCTCGAAAGTAATCAGAACGCATCTTATATTCGATGGCGTCTTAACGAAGAAAAATCCTTCATTCTGCAATCTGCACAATAATTCGCACGGAAATAGAATCTGAAATGAAGTACAATACTGTACTCTGCATAAAAGGCCTCAATGCCAGTTGCAGTTCAAGGAAGATATAGGTATAATCTTGATTTCATGAGGAAGAATTTTAAAGTATTCAGTTGGTATACTCGACGCAAAAATTATAATAACCGGACTCCTTTGATTTTGCAGAATGAAATCTTATGAAAGCGTGCCTTTAAATTAGTACCGTACTAAACGCGAATAAGTCCATTAAAGAATATTTCTTCAACTAAGATTTTTCTCAGTGCGATGTTTTTTTAAGGCAATTTACTCTTTAAAAAAATTTAAGCAGCTGCTCTCGAACAATTTTATAGTGTACGTGTTTTTACTGTATTATGTTTACAAAAAGATTACACGTTAAGTATCACTTTTACATCAATATTAATTTGTTTTTATCAAAGACACGAGATCCCCGTTCTACCCGAAGTATCTTTATACGCAGAGTCCATCGTCATTCAAAGAAATGAATCTAGGATCGATTATTAATAAGATATTTATAAAATTATATTCTCTAAAGCTTAATTTTTTTTATCTATTTGAATAGATCAATAGAGTATATACGTTGAATATTTTGTAGGTGAGAAGCATTGCTTTGTGAAATCTTAATGGCATTCACAAGATATATTTCGAGATAAGTGGGGAACTCCGGAAAAACGGAATTTTCGCATTCTTTTTTGCCGTGAACGGAGAGAAATTTTATATTTCTTCGAGAAGTTTGAACAGGGAACTCAGTCTCCAGATGAGAACAGATAATTGAAACAATTTATTTTTCTTCCTGAAGGATTCACAGACCATTAGGGATTATACGTCCAGTATCATTAACGTTCAGAATGGAAGTACTGCTCGGGAAAAGTTCAATAAACTCAGAAATTATCCCGCCACAGAAAAGAAAACCTGAATACTTTCGATATTTCCCTCGCTCGAATCGAACCCCAACAAAAGAACTGAAGCTTAAATGAAAAATCTAGACACATACACAGTAATTGATCAATTCTTAGAATCAATTCTTAAAATACGAAAAAGCCATGCCTAAATGTAATCTTTCTTTGTAAGAAAATTTCTCCTCCGCACATGATTCGGGTAAGAAAAAAAAATCAGGAAAGCAGAAATGGGGTTCTTTAATCAGATACATTAAATTGGTAAGTATAACTTTTAGTGCAACCGTGTTCCACGGCAATAAGGAGGAGCAAACCCAAAGAAATGCTCACCGTTTTGCTCTTCACCTTGTTCCGGATCATAAACAATAATGCGATGCAGACATTTCTGTGAAGACCGGAAGTCCGGAAAGTTCCATTAGACGGTTTGTTTTCTGCTTACATTGGTACAGTACTTGAAAATTTATTTCATAAAAGAATAAGGTCATCATTTTTTTGTGTTAACCGACGCGTGAAAATATAGGACTGTATTTGCACAAAAATAATGTGCATCTCTTTTCTGAAGAAGCATTCAGAGGATTGGTATTTCAGAAAATGCCATGCAAAATATCAAGGTGCACATAGTACTTGAGGGTGCATGTTACTCAATTGAATGGAATAATTTTCTGCCATTTGGAAATAAGCAATGGCTTTAAACCGAAATAAATCCAAGGTTTATAGGAAAAACACTAATTTAAAAGTAGACAGTTTAATAAAAATCTTCAGATGAGAGCTCAGAAAATATTTCTGCTACAATTTCCCTCAATATAGTTACTCTGAGGAAATTAGGAGTAATATTATAATGGTAATTGTCCATAACAGTTTCCAGGAGATGTCATTATTTTGCATCCGTAAAATATGATGGGAAAACAAATGGTGAAAGGTGTCCTCTTATAAACAGAAAATGGGTATTCCCTATAAGGAAATGAGCCATCAAGATGTTTCCATATATGCATTAACTTCAATGAACAGTATTTGAAAGACCTTCGAATTTTTAAAACGAATGTCTGTCCATTTTAAAATGTATGGCCGCTGTATGATTATGTGCGCTATTCGAAGAAACTTCAAAAGTTCGTCTTAAATTTGAAAACTGTATTCGCTTGTTGGGTTAGGTTTTATTGATGTTCAATATAGCACCTATACGAAAGAAATATTTACTCGAAAATAATATTTCAGAAAGCTGTCATACGAAGGACTTGAGATGCTGAAGTCCGGGTTATCGAATCATTCAAGTTTACGCTTTTAGATCAAAACATGTTGTGCCTACGTTTTTTGTCAGTCGCATTCATTCTACGGAAATAAGATAAACATGAGAAACAGATTTTGAGTGAAACGGAAAATAAAGATCAATAAATTGACGCACCTGGTTTTAATAATGCTATGAAAACATTCTTCCTCGAAGCTTTTGTCTGATGTCACATACATTTTCGATGCGAAACGAAAAACTTGAAAAGCAAAAGTTTCGTTCGATCATTTTGATCACAAGGTAGTGCACAGTGTGGAAACGCGTTGACTGCTCTTGGGTATCGCGAAGAACTGCGAAAAAAATACCGTTTTTATGGCTGCTCGGAATATTTGTTTGCGCATTTGAGTGATCGAGTAATGATATGGGGAATATATATATATATATGCAATATATATATTTTTACATTTTGTTTTATTTTCCGCGTTGAGCAGATGGCTTCGTCGAGATATATTCAACCCCCAGCTCTGTTTTCACGCTTATCGTCACGTTCCTCATTCCGCCGTTTCGCCGGCAGCAGGAGCAAACAGAAACTGAGCTTTTCTTCGTTGGCGAGTGTCAATACATCCTTTCGCTGGTGTGTGAGATGAATCCCACGGATGCAACAATGGTCAAAGGAAGGACTGACACATAGTTCGGTCGACAGATACCACGAGCAACTGCGAACACTTTAGCGCGAAATTTAATTCAAAGCTGTGTAATATAAAGTCTTAAATTTTATTATGCGCGGCAGAACGCGAGCGAGTACGGATCAGATTATGAATTGCAAATGAAATGCGTGGCCACATTTCAGCTTCACTTTTGATGGAACAAGAAATAGAACATCGTCGGAAAAGAGAACTTTTGACATACGCGGCCAATTATATTTCAGCGTGTGTTTTCCAGCTGGTTAAATTTATGAAATTCATAATCCGGGGAATGTTTCTCATATTTCATGACATTCAAGAGTGCCATGTTTTGTCTGGCCGATGGCATATGTACGTAATACTGCAAAAAAATCGGGTAATCAAATCCACGAATAACATGAGTTCCTAATCATTGTTTTTTCGAACCCTTGTCCTTCTTTGTTTTCGGAAACTCGACACCCCTTTTTTTAACTTTTGAAGGTGTGGCTTTGCTTTCGCGTCGCACAGGAATGTTTTGATTTCAATAGAGTATACTTGAACTGTTTCTATTTCTGATGTTGCCGATAAAAAGCTTTTTCAGCTTCATTCATTAACAAAAATGGATTGTTTTCTTATTGGCTTTAGCTACAGATGGACCGTTTTGAAAAATTGTGGTTGGGATATATAACCGTAAAGTCGTTTTATACCAAACTCCCAGGACCTGAGAAATCCATTGTAACGAAAAAAGATTTTTTTTAATCTTCTTGGTTCTTTGAGCATGTATCGGTCTGAATTTTTATTGGAAACAGGCAATAAATGTTCTGAATTACTGTATTTCCACCACGGATATGTGAAGAATTTCCATCATTCACAACTTATTTCGATGAAAAATTTGAGAAAATTCAAGATGTAAAATATAATTTTCTTATTTCAGACCGTCCCTTTCTTGAATTTCCTAAAAATATACTGATGTTAAAAATGCATAAGCTGAGACGAATGGTAATTACATGTGTTAGATGGGCATCTATTTATTGACAAATGTATGTTTCCTAAAACAGAAAACTATCCTTTCAGGCACACTTTTTTAAATTAGCCATTTCTAAATTCTAAAATAATGCTAGACATTTTTATTAGAGTTCCATACTTCCTGCAATTTTGAATTTTCTGCGCAAAAGATTAGTACTGTGCTGTATTTAGGTTTTTGAAGGTGTTTCCATTATGCACAAGTTGGGTTTTCCCATATTGTGGCAATTAATAAAAATTCAAATGGCTCATGCACATACACTAAAAGCAACACATTTTTTATCATGAAATTATTAACAATAATTACTTTGTTACAACCAAATTTTCATAACATTGTAGCTTAATTTGAAGAAACTGCTGCTGGGACCAAGAAAAGATCGTTATAAAGAGACTTTTTGAAACGGAATTTCGGTGTACCTTATTACCGAAAATAGCCCAATAACAGGGACAAATTTAAAAAAAATTTAATCCGGAATATATTGAAGATCAAAAGACGGTATAATATGCCCATTTACACGGATACTTTAATACATTATGAGTGTGCAAACGTGAGCGAATTTTACATTTTCAGAGCAAAGTTTCACAAGAACGCGAACTGCTGGTTCAGACGAATTCAGCAATAAGAAAAGTGAGGCGGGGCTGAACAGAGCATATGCAAGAATCGCGCGAGTTAAAATGTATGCAGTAGGACACATTCCCATCTGAGTCATTCCTAGAAACTCCGGCATCATGCTTTTCTGTTCAGTATCAAAAGTAATTCTTTCCCTTATGTATATACGTTTGGTAAGGGACAACATATGGTTTACCACGAAGACTCCAAGGCAAACTTCCTGCTCAGAAGCGGAGGAGGAAAATGCATTTCCTCATCGTCGCGCGCTTCCGACTTTGACTGTTGCGTATTTTACGTATCAAGGGGATTTGTGAATTCTAGAGTTTTCAGTTTTTTTATATATACTGTACATGCGTCGTTCACGGACACTGTATTGTATGCATACCCCGAAGTTTACCTTTGACCAAGTTCTTGTTTATGTATATGCAGCGGGGAAAAAATCTACGTCATATAATCCGAAACATACATTCGAAGAACACATTTGGAAGCTGCTCGAATTTTGGTTTTGGAAACTCAGGAATACCAGTGAATTTTTTCTTTTCGATATTGTATTTTCTTTGTAAGTGACTAGCGGTATTTGTCGCTCTCTGACTTTTCCCATTCAAAATGATCGTCCCTCATCAAGATGACGTTCCTCATCCCTCTGCAAATTTTGTTTTTTGTTGTCGCAAAATTGTTGGCTTTCAGGGCCATCCGCAGTTAGAAAAAGAAGCCAAATCCACTGTATATACAGGGTTCCAAATTGAATTCAGGTCCAAACATGAAAGAAGTCTTGCAATCTTTTTAGGGTAGCATTCGTATTCATTTGTGAAAAAAATGGCTCAAATCGGCTTGTATTTTTCCAGTACCATGTACCTTCGGGTGATACGCACCTCAATTTTCTGGCAAAAGAAACAAGTGCTATCATAGTCTTTCAATATTGGACGATTAATAGTTCTTTCATTTCCTTAAATGTGATGATCCTACAAATAATACTTCCAAATGTTTTTGCTGCCATCTCATATGTTGAACATGGACTTCTGTAGCATAATAAGAACGTTTCCACGAGATCTGAATTATACCTAAATAATAGCTTTATATTTTTCAGGCGGAAGGAAATTTTCCAGAACTGATAAAATTGTTCTTCACTGCATACAGTACTACAGCTTTATATAAATTAATCCGTTGCTAGACTCCATATAACAGACTTTTCACTGTAAAGATTCGAATTCGCCAATAAAACTACCGATCGAGGCAATATGAAAGACGTGTGCTGTGGGGGGGGGGGGGGGCCCCATCTATTTTGGATCCGAAGACACAAATATGTAAACGCTGTATAACTCTGCGATCAAAGCGAAAAGATTGAGCAGAAGTTCATAGATGGAGACGTATAATCAGATAGATAAAGGAGAGAGACAAACTGAAGAACGGATGGATACATACAGTATTTATAAACGTGGATAGTGCACGACCGAACCGCGCATCATCATCGCAGGAGGCGATAAGGGCGCAAACGCAACACCCTCAATGATGCATACACACACACATACGCTTTCGCGCACCACGACCGCAAGCACTGCGCCGCGCCGCGTGTGATGGAGCCAACATCACAGGCCCCATATACACGCAAGTACTGTACGATTATGAAGAGCCCGAACTTGAACTTGAACCAGATACTGTATACACAAGCAGCACAGCGCACTTGGGACTCGTTGCACACTGAACCAGTTCCGAGATCAATGTCGAGGGAAGAACAGAGGGATGAGGGAGGGTGTATACTGTATATACATACGGCGTATAGACTGTACATGTGGTGAATTGGAAGAGGGGGGGGGGGACCTGTGCGGAAAGGATGCACCGCTTCCCTTCTCATTCCTTTCGTCGCGAGTAGGAACACGGCGGACAGTCGGTCACAAACGCGGATCACGAGGCAGATTTTCAATGCATCGGCGGAGTGAATCACTCTCTGGGCTGATTCATTTTCACCTTCCTGTCTTTCTGTTTTTTTTTCCACGCGGTTCATTGATTGAAGAAGTGAACAGTCGCAATGATGAATTCAAGTACTGCTGATGTACAGCAGTACCGCGTTTCCGTGCTGATGCTGCTCTCTTTTTTCTCACACCGCGTGACGATGATACTTCTGTATTTGCAGTAAATCGCTGTTATCTCAGTTGATTGAAAGGCTTTTGTATTGGTGCATTTTAAAATTGAAGATTTTAGGATTAAAGGTATTTTGTTGGATCGTAAGAATCATAATAATTGAAGAATCCTTGCTGGGTAATAAATCAGCAAACGATTTATATGCCCTTATTTATAGCGTAGACCAGTATGCTTCACTGATAAAACATTTACGGTATGAGTATGGCGGATGTGTAAAATTCGAACAACCAAGAAAGGCACTGTGAAGAGAATTTTGCTGTAGAGAACCTCTTATATACAATAAGATGGATATACAGTATATACCCCCGTGGGACCAGCAAAAGAAAATTTCTCATGAAGAGAAAATCGTCGACAAGATTTTTGAACAGATGAGAAAATATACTGTAGTACAGCAGGTGGCATTCGTACCTTGCGATGTGACTGAGGATGAATGGAGTATAAAATCCTTGCAGGGTAAAAAAAAAAAGATAAATATTTTTTTTGCTCAGACATCGAAAGCTGAGAGACGATCATTCCACTCCAACACACTGCATTCAAGACAATTAAAGATATATTTATTAAAGTTTTTTTAAGGAGCGAATCGGCCCGCGGAACATGCATTGCCCTCTCTTACAGCTGTTTGAGATAACATCGCGCCAGTACTCCGGGCTGCTGAGCCAGCATAATTAAACCACGCTTCCTGACTAGTCGTTGCATAAACAGTCCCTGATGATCAGGCTTGGGACTTTTTCATTCCTGCCCTGCTCGACACGTTCAGCGGTTCATCCCAAAGGACGCGTTAAAAGATTATCCCTCCTTCGAAAACCCGCGTTATCAGTTTCCGAGCATGTACAGTATTGTCTTCTGTCGCAATTAGAAGTGGTATTCTTTCATCGGATTAATATTCTGGATATTCCGATAATTATTTCAGAATACAGTAAGCTGCAGCGAAGGTTTGGCCTGTCCCGTCTGTTTAACTTAAGCTCAAGAGATGAATGGACACAGGGATGAACATTTATTCGTTAATTTCACAAGTATATAACTGAAGTATGAAAGAAAATCTGAAGTGAATTAAATAAAATGAGGAAAGGAATAACATTACGTACAAACATGTAACATTTATTTTTTATATGACTTCTACACAAAATAAATGTCGTGCTCAGAACCCTGAAATTTTCAGGATGAACGAAAATACATGCTAGGGTGGAAATATCTGAGATGAACGAAGAATGAGGTGGGGTGTGAATGATCATGGATGAACAACTATTTGTGAATATGACTACAGTACTACAATGCAGACAAGGAACATAAAATTCGGCAACAATCGCAACATTGTGTTGGTGTTACGAGCCAAAATTTGGTATCCCCAACATTTTCAGGAGTAATGAAAATAGTGGCCCAGGTGTGAAGGACCCCCCACTCCCCCAGAATGAATTCCAAGAAATCCGCCTCCTCTCTTACCCCAGGCCCAGGGTTACCTTTTTTTTTAAATGTGAAATCCGCTTATTGGAAACAAGGGAGACATGGACTCGGGCGGTCACCCAGAAATAAGCGATCAAATAATTTGAAAAAAAACTATTTAGGCCGCAGAGAAAAGCTCAGGAGTAAGGAAATTTTCCCACGGCGGTCTTTCATTGAAATACTCTCGCTTCTATAATTCTCATTCCACTATACGGCTGCATGCATTTCGACCATGTACTAAGTTCAATATAAACAGCCGAAGTTACCGTACAAGCATTATCTTTAAGTTCCCTGAAATTTTAGACATATAACATGAGAATGCGCGGGTGCCTTCAAAGGATTTAAGCATCTGATCAAAACCCAATTAGAAGTTCGGAGAACAACTTTTATCGTCCAGTCCACATGCGTCTGCGTTGTGTTACCCGCTTGTTAATCAGACGGAAATTTCTTCCATTCTTTGGAGCACGTTCAACATGGGAATTACTCTGTCCAACTTATTTGGTAAGTTTTTCGGGAAACCGCAGGTTCGAATTCTAATGCTTGGATTGGACGCTGCCGGGAAGACAACAATCTTGTACAAATTGAAGCTCGGCGAGGTCGTAACAACGATCCCTACGATCGGATTCAACGTCGAAACCGTAGAATATAAGAATTTGAGTTTCACCGTGTGGGACGTTGGCGGACAGGATAAAATCCGACCCCTGTGGCGCCATTATTTCCAGAAAACCCAAGGGTTGATTTATGTAGTGGACTCTAATGACAGGGAGAGAATACAGGAAGCCGAGGATGAGCTGCAAAAAATGCTGCAGGCAAGTGTCTTATAATTTTGAACAAATATTGTTCTGTAAATTTACCGTTTTTTTTTTCAAAAATACTTGAGGCCAACTCGTAGATCTAATATAATTATACAACTGATAATGTCATACGAAAATAAAATCGATATTAGCTTCCCAGAAAATATAGAACAACCCTGTTTTTTCTTTCGAGTATTCGACCACAGAAACTGACTTAGCATGTCTTCTAGGAGGAGGAGCTGCGAGACGCCGTGTTACTCGTGTTCGCGAATAAACAAGATCTACCAAATGCCATGAATGCTTCTGAACTGACGGAAAAACTAGGACTACGTAGTTTACTCAACAGAAAGTGGTTCATTCAAGCAGCTTGCGCCACACACGGACAAGGTCTGTACGAGGGGCTTGATTGGTTATCTAACGAGATCACTCGTCATAATGCTGGATTTTGAATCACTTCGCACGATGCATTTTTTGCGTAACATGGCCATCATCTGCTTTTATACTGAAATGAAAGCAAAGAAGTTCCATCCATGTGACGAAAAAAATGTCAGGAGTTTTCTTCTTTCGCAAGTCGGAAACTTCCATTTCTTTTTCTTCACAACAACCTTCCGAAGTGCGAAGCTTTCAAGAAGAAAATGGGAGGGGAGAAAATAGACATATAAAAACTCGGAATAAAAAAAGAGAACCCGGAACGAATGCAGAAAACCTGTCAAAATGCCGCAGAACTACATTTCCGCTTCAACCAGAAAATTAAGCTTGTTCAGTTATCCGCAAACAAGTACTTCGAAACCCGTGCAGAAATCTTCCGCGTTGCTGCTGGAGAGCAGCTGGACAAAGGAATCTTCATTTCCCATGTCTTCTTCGAAGTCCATGGCCCGACGATGGCCAGTACGTATAATCTCATCGGGAAGTCCCGCGAGTTTGGCAACATTGAAACCATAGGATTTCGGACAGGATCCCGATTCGTTGGTGTAGAGAAACGTTATCATGTCCTCGGTAGGATCTTCAATATCATCCTGGTTTCTTTCAACCATGCAAGCCTAAGAAGGAAAAAAAACTGCTCACGAACATTTTCGAAGGAAATAAATTCCCCCGTGGAAAGATCTAAACCAATAAAAAAAAATCGAAATAATAATTTCGAATGACCGCTTCTCTGTGCGAAGAATACGAAACGTCAGAATGTAACTACATTATTCATTTTTGAATTTGAATAGAAGCAAGAAAAAAAATACATCGACTCGGAAATCTTTCCGACAGCCGCTGAGGACAATGACATATGATGAAGTAATTGCTATCGTCCAATGAAAAGGCCAGAAATAAACGGTCTTAACTTAAAGCTCGTTATACGAATGCACGAAAAGGGGCGTATTTTTCGGACATCGGCGGAATACGTAGCCGTACCTTCAATGAAATTGAGAAATTTTCAAATCCATTTGAATATATCCTTTCAACTGGGTCATTCGCCAATGAAAAAAAATCCCCAACAATACCAAACCCTGCCTACTCCGAGAATACGCTCGTACCGATTGAAGAAATAATTGCCGCCAAATGAAATTCATGTCTCGTAAACCTCTTACACACCAGCGTTACTTAGCAAATGATCTGTCTCTTAAGTTAGACAATGATCACGTCCAAAACATTCAACGCAATTCCTTCAACTTCCAGTTGTTCGTTTCATCAGCTTATAAAAACCTGCCCTTGAAAATCTGATCCCGGTTTCAGAAAAAATAAAATAAAATCTGTCACGTTTTCGGGAAACGCTGACGATGAAGTAACCCCATTCCACGTATACAGTACAATATTGAATTGTATTAGATAATAAATTACATAATTCCTTTAACAAACTCGTTGCTAAATGCTGCTCTTCGAAGTGCAACCCTAACAAACATCACGTGATTACCCACCATATGGGTCAGAGCGATTTTCTCGTGCGAACCCAGCTCGTCCACCAGGTTATGGTAATGTGTCGAAAAAATGCTCAACGAACCACGGTTGCAAAGCGCTTTAACCACAGCCCCGGCAATCGCTACACCATCAAACGTTGCCGTTCCTCTTCCTGAAACATTTAGTATACCTCGATAAGCTGCCAGTTATTTTCTGATCAAATGAACGGCTGACCTAATTCGTCGACCAAGACAACGGAGTAGGGCGAGGCGTGTTTTAAGATGGCAGAAGCCTCTGAAAGCTCCACGTAAAACGTGCTTTCACCTTTCACAATAGAATCTGACGCACCAATCCTCGTGAAAATGCGATCCACGGATGTCAGACGACAAGATTCAGCGGGAACGAAGCAACCCTGAAAATTTACGGAACCCATCAGGTGTTCAAGACAATCGAGAAAATCGCAATGAAGATCCGCAGCAATCGGTGTAACAAGCGCAAGGCATTTCATCTTCCAAAGATGCAATACCGAAAGGGAAACTCACGATTTGCGAAAGAATGACGAACAGTCCTGCCTGCCGCATGAACGTAGACTTGCCACCCATATTCGGCCCGGTCAAAAGGTTCAATGGCGGCAATTCGCCACCAAGGTTAATATCATTCGGAATCGCACTTTCACTTAAGCAAGGATGTCGTCCTTTCACGATGTGAATAAAAGGCTGCAGGAAAATTATATAAATCAGGTTCATCATTAAAACAGTATCACTGACGTGAAGATTTCTATCGAACGTACCGATTGATTCTGTGATGGAGCAACAATCTCTGGTCTGGCATAACCATGAAGTTGTGATTCCGCATATAGTGCGAACGACATCAGCACATCGAGGAACGCGATGCATTCAACAGCAACAGCCCATTCATGAAAACTGAAATCGACGCAAATAGGAATTCTCGCTACAGTATTTACTTATTCATTTATTTTTTGCTAGAAGTATGTTCAGGATCCTTCTCGCTCTTTCAATCGCCAGAAAGCGCAACTTTTAGGAGTTTCCTTACTGTGAATCGAACTTTCCCATTATACTGCGACCAATATCTTGAAGAGCAGCTTCGTGGGCATCTTCTGCCTTCATTTCTTCTGAGAGGAACCGTTTCGTTTCTGCAGTGACGAAGCGTCTGTATCCCTTTCGCTGTCCCGACAACTCGTGTTTCTTACTCGCACGCGTAGCAGCAGTTTCCGTCACTTCCATCTGGAAGCGATTTCTTCCAGTGCCCACGAAAACCACCTGCAATGCGTGTTCACAAACATCAGTGATATTCATTGCAGAGAGGTCCCTGAATTTTTCTCAGGACCATGTTATTGACACAGCAAAAGCAACGTTCTCAACGATTTAATTTCTTTGTACAATACCTTGCAACCAAAAAGCTGGCTTTGCTCCTTCAAGTACTTCTCACGTTCCATCGCATTTTTATTCAACCAATTTTTCGCATTGTCGTAGTTTTCATCGACACCTGCTCTCCCAGGTACAACATTGCCATTTTTTCTCGCCTCTCCATGATCAAATGCCTCCTGTTACGAACATTGGGAAGTGACGAAGAAAAATATCAGTTCGGTGCAGAAAAATAATTACACATAACAATCTAAAGCAAAATTTTCCTCCTCAAATACTTTGAATGAAATGATGCATGCAAAACTTACATCAAAGAAGTCGAGGATTGGCTTCAGGCATGGAAATTTGCCGCTTTTTTCCGTTGGAGTTAGTAGTTCCTGGAGCAGCTTGGAACTGCCATTGGTTAGAACTGAAAAAAAAATCGAACAATCAAAATAACGTTTTTTTTTCGAAGAAAATGAAGGTATTCACCAAGAGCTTCTTCTTGCAGAGTCATTACGGATTTGAAGCCATCAAGCACTCGCAAAAAACATTCAATCTTCCTTTTTGAGTACTTATGCATTTCGAACAATACAGCTCTGGAGTCAGGATGGCTCTTAGTTCGTCGACTAGATCCTTCGGAGTGCAGCTTCGGTAGCAGGCGTTGAAAGTCGGGCATACAGCGCAGACGCTCTCTAAAAAGCAGTACGAGATCCCTGCGCGACAGCAGTTCTTCGACAGCGTCGAGCCGTTCGTTGATTGCATCAATGTCACAAAGCGGACGGCACAACCAGTCTCTAAGCAACCTGTCGTAACAGCAAAAATAAGCCCAGGAAGATTTCATATGCAGTACGTGGCGGGTGCTGGGAAAAATACCGTGGGAGAGAAACTGCCGCGGGTCGGAAATCCCGTGGATTACAAAATTGTGGAAGTGTGTTTTCAGGTTTTCCTTCCAACCGTTTCGAAAGATTATTTACCTTTCTCAAAACAAAGGTCAAGAGGAAGTATGAGAAATACATAGCCTTCATTTGGAGCTTTAATCCCTTCACTTACTTTGAATATAAACTGTGTACTTTTCATCTGATTTAACACAGATCATTTTTGCATCTTGAAGTGAGTAACAGGTATCAGTTTACTTCAGAATAGTTTTACTGCATTGAGTTCGGAGGCAATACAAGGATTCACGGGTGCTAATTCAGAAGTAATCCACGAGGGTTGGATTGTAAAAGGCAGTCGTTCGAAGATTAAATTATAATGCAATCAACTGGTGCGCATGATATATATGCCTCCAGAACTCAGGTTACTTCAGGCAAAGAAGAATGTTTGACAGTGGCATTGATGACAGTGAACACATGCCCTAGCTCATTGTAGTTACGAAACGATGATTTTTTCGACTTAAATTCAATTCACTGGATTTTCTCACAGAGCCATGTGCGGCGCATTCGAATTTCATAGAAATAAACGAAATCGGTGTGCATAGCTAAATGGCAATTTTAAAAATACCCAGACGGGTAAACAAATTAAGCAAGAAAATGGCAAGCAATGCAGAGTTCCCAATTAATAAATGGAGCAATTAAACCATTATATGGAACATCGAAAAATGATAAGCCAACACACCTTTTCCCGAAGGGAGTGCAGCAATGATCAACTTGCTCAATGAGAGTGCCTTTCTCAGTTCCAGTGATATTGCTGACCAATACGTCCAGATTGTTCAAGGTAACACCATCCAACACCTGGGATGTAACTTCATAATCGGAGAAGTTGAACGAACACTCACATTCTAACTCACCAGATGCCTCGCATGAGCAATATGAGCAGGTACCGACACTTTTTCTGTATCATCCTCTGTTGCTGTCCAATCAACTGGTTCGTATTCGTCAAATTGACCCATTGAGATGACATCATCATCAATGAGACAGTCTTTTAAATAAAACAAAACCGCACCCAGAGAACGCAAAGCCAGATCTTTTTCTGATTTCGGAGTCAATGCCAGACCATCCACTGGAAAAGATTAATTACATTTTTAAGCATCATTATTCATGAATCATCGCATTCTCGTGACCAACCATCCTCTATGTAATTTCTCAAGGCAGCAGGATACACCGCGGTTCCTCCCCCGCCTTCTGGTACAAAATAAGAATTCTCGGATAATGTTTTGAGGGTTTTTTTTGCCGTCATGAACTCAGCGTCGGATGCCAAAAGTTCTTTTTCTGCAGGGACATGCTTCAACGCCTCAGTTATTGCTGGAACAGACTTCCCGCGCTCCAAAAGAATCTGTAACCGAGTCATCAACGGATCTTATAAAGCACTGCAATATTAGTAGAAAATTATATAGCATACTGTAGCAGGTACATAATGCGCCATCATTGTGCGTAATCTTGAACAACAGCGGTCATCGATGAATTGCCCAATCAGCACTCGACCAACTGAAGTGTCCGCGAATGCCACTCCCAACTCGATGTTTTCCCCCGGACCATCAATCATCTACACGAATATACTTCATCAGTCAAAAAAACGAATACTGTACAATGCAATATATCTACAACGATCTTACCAACAACGATTTTCCCTGGAAAACGAAAATTTTTTGTTGGTCCCATGGGGTTCTCTCCCAATATTACAGGGGTTGTCTACAACGATTTTTTTCTGGCCCCTTGAATTTCGTTGTACAGCATAAGCATCTTTATAATGTCGAAGTCGACATCAATATGTAACGATTGCTCTTCATCGTGTCTCATTAATATAGGTAATCAGACAATCGTGTGAACAATCTGATTTCCGAGATAGAATTTTCCAGGGTTTTACAGATTAACGATCTTAATTCAAGCGGTGGAAAAAATTTCGAACGCCCACACATAAAAAAATCCGAAACGGTACGACATCAAGCCAATAGCTTGATGTCGTACCATTTCGTAATATTTAAAGACGTTCTTCACTTTACAAAGGATACACTTTGGGAGCTTAGGCGGTTTGATTCAGATTTGCCACATAATTTCACATCGACGTAAGTTGACTAGAAGAATTGAAGCATTAATTCCCTAATTAGGTCAATAAAGAATAAGCCTAATGACATACAGTCAAGAATTAATACCAAGGAATACGGTGCGAGAAAATGGGGGTTTAAAAACCTTTTGACAGAGGGCCAAGAGAAATTTTGGCTGCGGAACCCCCACATTTTCATCCTGAAAGCTCATCAATCGTGTGGCTGGTGTAGTGATACGACAGAGCTCTCTTCGAACCACTTTGTCCCATTTCGTGCAGGACCTTCCCACTAAATAAAACCGGACGACGATATAGATTACGGTTTTGGGTGGCAATGTGAATTCAGGCATTCAAAGAGAGCACTCACTCTTCGAGCATCGTTCTTTATTCTGCTCTGGTGTTTCAGTTTGCTCAATTCTGGCAACTTTGTAGCCTTTCGTCAGGAGACGATCAGCAAACCTGCCATACGAAATTTCGGGGAAGCCGGAATGCGCAAATTTTCCCTGAACAAAAACAGCTCATAAATTGGGTGATGAGATTTATAAACAATATTTTAATACCTTCATGTACAGCAAATTAAGCTCATTCACACCAACTGTCGCATCCATGTGGTAGAGCTCATAAAATTTTCCGACTTTGAAAAACAGCACCACGTCAAAATGTTCAGATTTGAATTGCCACCATTGTCGCATGCCCTTGAAAACGAACGTAAGAAGAGAAAGTTGACCTGATAAATCAAACCGAGACTCAGTAATCCAGGTTACCATCATCATGAGAGTACAGTACTGTACTTAACAAGAAATTCAGCACAACTAAAAAAAATAAATAATTCAGTACAGTACTGCATAGAAAATATAAACACCCTCGGAACTTGACTAACCGGGGACAGTTGATCAAGATACTTTTGGGGCACTTTCAGAGTTCGGGGGTCGTAGTTAGGATCATCCGGCCTCCGTCCCGACCGATCTCGAATATTTTCGGGCTTCAAGAAGTCTACCTTCAAATGTTCCCAAATTTCGTCGCCAGGTGAACAATTAACAGATGACACTCCTGAATCCTGAAAAATTTTCCAAAAACGAGCATTGTAGGAAGAAAAAGCATCTCGAATCAGGGAACATACATCATCCTCGGCAGCGAACATGCTGAAAGATTTGACGGCGGAATTCCGCTTTGAGGAAAATATATGAGAGGACGGTGTTAACGAAGTGGGAGTCCGTATAGCAGACTTTGGAGTATGACATCCTGCGACACCTTTTGGAGTTTTCCCTTCTTCTTGAGAAAGCTTGACAATGCTGGGTTTTTCCACCAGCTTCGCAGGAGATTCTTCGGCAGCGCTGAGATTTTCCTCCGGAACTCCTGAGCTCACGGAATCATCAGATTCTTCAGCAGTGTCTGGAGGAGGTTTGAACTCGTCACCGGAATCTTCATCTACTTTGAAGTCGCCATCATCCTCATCATCCGATACGTGAATACGAGCTCGTTTCAGGGGAGGAGATTTCGCGGAAGGAGACTTTCTTGATGTGGGTCGCTTGCGTTTGACATCATGGCTTGTTTCCACATTTTCCTTGCTCTGATCACTTTCTCCAGCTACAGAAAAACTTTCTTATCAAGTATTTAAAGAGACAGAAGACAATGTGAAGTTAGACTCACAAGGAATATCATCACCGTTTTCATCGTCCGACGGAGGAAATTCTCGCATGAGCTCCTCTCTTTGTTTTTTAGTCTTAGACAGAGCATCGTTAGCTTCCGCCAAAGCTTTCTTCCAAGCTGGATCAGGAACAGAGGTGACAGGCCCAGTCACATCACCAATGAAACGCTGTACGAATCTGCGAGATCCCAAAGTAGTTCGATAAGTTTAGTACGAATTTACATTAAAATTTGAAACTAACCTGTACTTCACCCACGCTCGAGATGGCTTTTCTTCAAAAAACTGTACATGAAGCTCACCCCGCCGATAATGAGCCCCTGCTGTTGGATGAGGCACGACAATTGCAGGCCACCACGGATAACCTTCCAATTTACCCCATACGAGGTCGCCCACATCAAAACCAGATTCATCTGCGAATTTCAGTAACTAAAGCTACAAAACCAAGAACACTAGCACGCGGTGACATACCGATAGACTTTTTTTTCTTATCAGAGCAATGCTGACGTTTCTTGTCTGAGCTGTGTCGCTGTCTCTTCTCCGCACTGTGGCGGTGCTTCTTCTCCGGACTCTGATGGTGTTTTCTCTCCGGGGTATGCTGACGCTTCTTCTCCGGTGATTTCGACTTTGATGGTTGATCGTCCGGCTTGGGTAATGGCTTCGGTATATCACCCTCGCTCGACGTTCGCGAAAAAGCTGCACTTTTGGCCGGAGTTTTTACTTTAGAAAAATACTTGAACAGCGTGTTCTGCGACATCTAGGAACACCAAAGACAAAATAGAGATCACAGAAATAACAGAGATATATTTCATTGCGTTTCTCTCAGATAAGTGCGGTTATCCCGAACCTGTCCACTTTATTTAGCTCGCCAAATCCAATTCTAATAATCGCGACGCGCGCGCCCACGACTCGAGCCTGGTCACGTAGATCATGCGATACCGGCACAAGGGTACAGTACTATACACAGCACATTTAAATACAATACTGCGCTCCGAGGTACACTATTTATTAACACCGACATCGACCTTAATTTAGACCCATAGCCAAGAGGTGATCCCCAAGTTTAACACTGCCAAAAACTAACTTTAAAAATTCACAATCTTTGAATTCGAAACGTAAGATGGATCGTCTAGATGACGCTCCTCTCCGAAAATTGCCAGATTCGACAGCACATGATCGACGATCATTATCACAGAACTAGCAATCACAACGAACGAATCCTTACTCAGTTTACTCACCTTCAAACAAGAATCCCTGCTCATGTGAAGTTTTGGAATCAATAAATAAAAACATCAATGTCCTGTTAATCGTACTGTACTTTCTTCCAGTGAAGGTTATAACAAACCAGAGCTGCAGTACAAGGATTTACCCGTCATTACGCACTCGCCAGCCTAATTGGTCATTCCGCAAGCGGGTACAAACAAGGGATACAAGTCGATCGGATATGAAGGTAAAAAGTGTCAAGAAATACGAAAGTAGGAGATAGGAATCTGTGGAGAACCATCCAGCACAAAGCGATAAAAGAGAGAGTTTTTGCATCACATCCCAGAACAAGACAAGAGGCAAATGCACGGGGAAACAGAGCAAGTCGCTCATCACCGAACGTGACAATTCAAACCACAAATTCGCACATTCACAGATCCAGGGGCTTCCTTCTGTCGACAATTTTCTTCTTCAAAAAATATAACCCCCTTCTTTTTCACTAAATAATAAATATCTTTGAGATTGCGGCATGGGGGCCAAGACCCAATAAATACACGGCTTCACACCCACCATTGCCATTTTATAGATTTTTTTTTTAGAAAACTCAAAAAACCTTTTCATAAAAATAACTTCCAAGGGGTGTGGACAAGAGCATTCCGGACGTATTCTTCCGAGCCTAATCGTGGAATCAACCTAAAGCCGCCATTATGTTGTACATGTTCGCAAGAACTTGCATGTGAATCGGTAAGCACGACCGCCGGTCGCTCCTGGCCGGATCGAGGGACAGCCACGATAGCGCGTTGTAACCTTCCAATACGTATCTACAGAAAAATAAGAGACGACGAGAATGTAATAGTTATAAATTTCCCGTACGAGGTCTTTTACTGATATCGAATGAGTCGAGAAAATGATTACAAACGTATTTGAAATAGGGAAAAATTACATGGAGTTGAACAAGCCTTCGCGATCTTTCCGTTAGCACAATATAAAACTCGAATACTCACTGTGGTCCGACTTGGAGAATAATCCATTGAATTCCTTTAAAACAATTTAATTTTTAAAAATTCTGAGGAAATAAGGAGAAAATATGAACATCTTGAAAGACAATCTCAGTCAGACAAAAACTACCTTTGACTTGATGAAACTTACTCCGCTGGGCAATAACAAAATTATAAAAAAAAACGAACCATAATACTGAATAAAAAAAAGACCGACCTAAGCACATCGGTTGTTTTGTCCGAATCGAGGGGATGCTGGCGTGATGATTGTGTACTACCCTGAGGCGCTTGGGCTAGCAAGAAATCATCCGTTTGCTGTCCACTGTTAGCATTCGGGTCCACGTACGAGTGTAAATGCAACGCGGCAGTTAAGAACGTAGGGGTTTGATCCTAGAGAAAGCAAAAAAGAAAGCTGAACGAATGTCCTACGCAAAAGATTTCAAACGCAAGTACCTCAAGGTGAGGGCACTGAGACCAAAACCAACTGGGAAGGGGTCCAGCCGGGGCAGTTGAGACCAGGTAACCGAGCGCCAAAGGCTGTTGTAATACTGAGCCGAGTTCCTCTCCAGGCTCTGCCATCAGCGAGTGCGTTGGAGCATTCTGATAGGACAAAGACTTCATTTCAGCTCGACCGCGCACAGAACATGACAAAATAAAAGAAATGCAAGGGTACTTCCTTTTTCGGTGACACCCAGTGAATGGACAAGAAATCATGAAGATGCAATAAATCTCGACAGCAAAAATTCTTTAAAAAAGTTAAGACGAAGTGAAAAGGAAGAACTATTTCCACGATTTTAAAAAATGCATCACATCTAAGCGTCGCATAGAAAACCCAATACTTCAAAGGAGAAAACGACGCAAAATAAGATGGAATTTAACGTCATCGCTCGTCTTTAAAATCGCAATTACGACCAACCTTTTGCATTATATCCTCGGCTCCTTGTCTGTTTTCCGCTGGACCACCCCCACCAAGCCCGAATCCGACCGAGAATTGTCCATCGTCAACATCGTTTGACGAAAACGATAGTTTTGGAGATCCCGAAGGAGAGCCAGGTCCGGTGCCGCTGGTCAACATGTCTCCAACACCTTGATTATCGTTGTCCCAATCGAAAAAATTTGCGATGTCACCGAACTCTTCCTGATTCAATTGGTTGAAGAAATCATCGTCGCCGAAATCTTCCTCCATCGGGTTGATGTGCTGATCGTGGAAGGTAACTTGCGAGGACTGCGTAAAAATATACGAACGATCTGCTCGGTCAGAAAAATTTTGCTACAGGTAAAATACTGTACTTAAAATATAGACATCATAACCCAAACCTTTCAAAAATATTCGATGAGCGGAATTACAACAGCGCAAAGAATATATCGTCAATACTGTACTATCATGAATCACAAATCAATATCGACCAAGAAGTGCGGCTTCATCCATTAGGCTATCAATTTGGATATTCATAATGTTTCCTACTTCGGATGCAGCGCAAACAAAGTTCAAATGATCTGCCTAAATCAGATACACTGATGCATCTTCAATAAAATAAAATACATAGTTGTACAGGCGTTCAAGGGTTGAACTTCTCGGGAGACGCAGAATCTTCGGGATCGAGGAATTTTACACGATGTACAAGAGATGTAGCAGGAAAAAAAAAAAAAAAAAAAATTTTCCTTAAGCCTCCCAAAAAGGAATTAAATTTTCAAACTGACCCTGGTCATAGCTGACGTTGGGAAGACAAGCATATGCGTGCAAGACACATCCTGCGGCGTCGAAAGGTGATTCCCACCAGACCCTTGGCCAAATCGCTCATCGGGGGTGAACTGGTCCGGCAAAACACGATTCACAGCATCCGGCTCCAGCGACACTAGACAAGCGGACGCGATCCCGGGAGCCTCTGTTGATAGGCACGCGCACTGCGCACACAACTCACGGAGCCTTTTACGCCACCGCACTAGCGCCTTCTTCGACAGTAGGGACGCCCATGACTTTAGTTCGGAGTGTCCGATGCGCCCTAACCGCCCGAACACCAGCCGCCAGGTGCAAACTGACGCAGAGATGATCCCTAGCGCGAAACCCATGAGTTTCTCTAGGCCGATGCGACGTGCGACAAAATGACGTCGGTTAGCTCGATTTGGTACGTGAATGTTGATAACTTCTGACTCCAGCAGCTCGCCCTTCTCGTCAGTGGCGCAAGCAAGGAGCCAACGTTGGTCTTCTGACAGGCAATACGTCACATAAAGCACCGAATTCATCATATCATTCTTTCCACCACAGCTAGACATAACCGACTCCGCCGTCTGCCATTGCTTGTCCTTCACGGCCGCCAATACGTATGACGGATTCAACATCGGGTATGGTGAAACCATTTTTCCCACCTGATGAAATTCATGATTGAGTTATGGTTTAATTTTAGGTATTGATTCTAAATCACATACAATACTGCAATTCGTAGATGAATAGTACAGTACTAGGAATCACAACGCCGCCAAAATTTGAAGGCTTAACGAGCATTTATCGAAAAAAAAACTCTTGATTACCTTCTAAAAACAAGTTCTTTAAGAAATCTATCAACTAAAAAATACGGATTAAATCGGAAACACCGGGCAGTTGTACTCAAGAGTTTAAATACCAGATATTCCTTCACTTTTACAGGTAGGGAACAAACTACAGCTGACGAGCTTTCCATTAATGAACAGGATGAAGATTTAGTTACATCACGAGCTTCGCAAGTTCAATGATATGGAAATTACTGTATTAATTTAAAAAGACAAAATGAGTAAAATTTCCCTCACCTCCTTCGTAACAGCTTTCAGAAATGTGTCCGCTGAGGCAGCTGGTCCAAATCCAGTCAAGCTTTTCACAGTCTGCGTGTGATTCAACATCATCCGACACTGCGAGAATACGCTGAACGCCAAGCTCTTGAAGTTCGGTAAGGCAGACGCGGCACGCACCCAGGACGGTGACAGCGTCGGCAACCCTCCGTCCTCTTCTTGGAAACCACCGATGCCGTGGTCCATCATGAGCACAATCGTCTCAAGGGGAACCACTTGTAAGAAGATATTCTCGCGCATATCATGCTTCGCTTCAGCCAATGCCGATTGAATCATGTGGAAGCATCGCAATAGCCCAAGGGATATGAGTTTATACAGCTCCGGCTCTTGACAAGCGTATGTGAATGGATCAATAAGGTAGATGACCAACGCGGGTGGTTGATCTTCGTCTTCCTCGGTTTCAACGCCAGGTAAACTGAAGCCACCAGGTGTCACTTTTTCTTCTCTTTCTTCTTCTCCACAAGATCTTGGTGTGGGTGGCTAAAACGAGAAAATTGAAAATGTAATCGCGAAGTTCAGTTTACTCAAAATGACAGACAATTTACATGGTACACAGGGAGGAAAAAATGAAATTAAGATTTCAACGGAAAGACTGACTTGAATCGTAGATAAAATAAAAAAAAGACAATTAGCTCTCTTCCAACCCGAGGGAGGACATAATCCATAACCTCCTTCAGCTGGCGAAAAAATGCGAACGTACCATCGCGTCAGACGATTCCGGTGTCGGCGGCGGAGGCATCGACACAGGTGATGTGGATTGCGGACCAAGCTGCATATTTTCGTAATTTCCTTTCTGACATTCGTTTCCCACATCCAGTAATGAGGAATCAAAGCTCTGTTGTGCCAAATAGGGCCCGATGAAGTTGCGGCACACTTGTGCGTAGAGGCGGAGATTTGCTGCCAGGGCGGTGTCGCCGAGCGCGTTAAACCAATCGTCGAGCGAATCATTGAGCGGCTTCACGGCTTCCTTTTTCCCAACGCGGATAACTCCGTCACGTACGTTTCTCGTGATAGGACTGTGTCTTCCCAACTTGCACATCTGGTTCAAATAAAAAAACCGTTCATTTCATTAGTGAAAAAAATTTCAGAACGATTGAAATTCACTAATTCACTGATGATGCATCTGATTTAGAATTTCTTCAATGTTTCGAAGAACCCCCTTATTTGATGATTTGAAACTGATGATCGAGTTGGATGCATATCATTTTTTCGTGCACCACGCCAAATTTGTGAAAGGAATCGAGATTTTTAAAAAGCACACGACAAGTCATACAAGAAAAATGCATTTCGGCTTTAACATGGCAGCTTTTTCTCTAGAAATTTCTGGCAGACGTTTCTCATTTAGCAATCATGTTATACGTCTAAAACGAAAATAACAGAAGTCAACATTCACGCAACATTGCCGAACGAAAATGTGAATGTTCTTTATTTAAAGCATTTTAATGATAACTTTGCGGATAAACCAGTTTTATCTGTTCTTTCCAAGTCGTGAATTAGTCGATACTTCCTTCATTTCCTGCTTCCATTAATTTACGCATTGTTATTTTTGGGAGGGAAACTAAAAAATATACCAACGGACTCAATATGTAATATATTAAACTCGGGCGTCACGCGCACATGCCGTCGACTCCTGCGAAATTACGGGGGTGGGCTGGGTGAGGATTTGCCACTTTACTGACAAACGATTATGGCAACCCGACTGACCTTGTACGTGCAGGACAGTTCCTTGAAAAACTGCAGAACTCGTGAGACAACAAAATCTTCATCTGGAGTGACAACGATGTATGCAACATCCCTCGGCCTGCCGAAAGGTTCCAACACAAGGTTCTCCCAACACCCAATCGACAGTGGAGATAATGTCAACCAGTCTTTCTCGTGTCCAACAACCAGATATGGAATGGGTTGAGGTTCACATTGATCCTCTGTTCCTCGACCAGCCATGCGATGGAACTGCCGCCAGGTGAGCGGACCGGAGACCTGATATGTGGTATCACGCGCACCAACGTTCTTCTTTTTCTGAATTGCTTCTTGCAGTAGCGGCTGCAGGACCCGCATTGCTCTCATTACCTCCTGTGAAAATTTAAAAAATCCAGATGAAATTCGAAATTCTTGAAATGTTCTTAGAAAACACACATGAACTCCATCAAAATACTGCAGGCATGTCGTCACAGATAGGATTTGGCTTGAATATCGTGAATGAAGATCTTGTTTATTTTGATGATACAAATTTATTAGAGAAGTATTCGTGCGCAACCATCAAATTTGTCATTTCATTCTGAAAATAATAATAGCTTTGCGTTCGTCAGATGACATCACGTTCAAAAATTACCGACTATTTATTCTATATAAAATGTTGAGCTCAACTGATTACAAGAGGTAAAAAGAGGAAACATGGACTTGATCATTTTTCGGTATATTCAAGGAACAGTGCGGTGTTTCGAAAAACTCACGTCCAAATAAGTTTTATTCCTCAACAACGGAGAATAAAAGCTTCCAATTTTACCGGTAATAATATTGATTTCTCGAAGTACAGTAGATTGAAAAATTTCAAATTGTATTTTTTCAACAGACTTGTTTCCGGAAAAAATAGTTGATAGAATTCATGGCAACAATTTTAGGAGGGAACGTGTGTTTCGAAAATTTATGCACAAGAACCGTCCCGGCTTTCGGCGTGACCTCAATCCGACAGTTCGATTTTCGGAGTATTCGTGTGAATCGACGAAAATCAATTACAGCAAATACAATGGTACCCTAAATGGCAAACACAGTCGGTTTCGACGCCCGTTCGTTATCCGGATGATGCTTTCACCATCTATTTACCGTATGATCAGCGAATACGACGTTCGCTATCCATCTCAATTTTCAAATTTTACGTTAACACGATATTTCACCAACATAGACTTCATTATCCTGTACCATCAGCTTATTAATTGAGTGCTTTATTTCACACTTCCGTACAAACCTGGGATGTCGTCCGTGCTTTTGGGAACACAAAAGGCCATGAATGAAGTCCACTGCGCCTCATGTTGATTTCATCGGAAATATCCATGAGTCGCGAGAAAGGATCCCGTCGACACGCTAAGGTTTCGTCCAATGCTGAGTTTGCAACGTCGGCATGATCCAAGTATTCTAAAAGATTAACCGTCTTTCGACCCGCGCCGTTCACTTCCCGATGTAACAGCCCCACTTTGGCAAATAAGCTAACAGAATAGCACCCAAGACTCAGACTGTGCGCGCGTAAGATCCTCAGCAATGGTTCCGGCACTTCGTCCAATACTCTCTTCTCGTCTCCCAGCCATTCTGAAAGAGACGGACTGCCCAGAGGACAATCACTTCGGATCCCAGTGATCTCTGCTTCGTCTTCATAAAAAAGTCCGGTTCGGTAAGCCTTTCGCCGATTAACCACAGCACTAAATCCGCAAGAGCAACGTGAGGCCTCCAGGGAATCAAAATCTTGCTGAAGATGTCGCAGAGCGCGGTCTGACAAATACATATTACCATCCAGGCCTTTGATGTTTCCCACAGTGTCCGGCGCCTCCGAACATACACAAAGACTACAAGATTCAAAATTGTGGTCGCTGAACACATTCAGGCAGGAATCGGTAAGAATCAAATTCGCAAGAAGAGCATTTCCAGCCACAGGGATACAAGAGGTAGACGGCTCGGCGCAAACCAATTCTTGGCCAGGCGATTGTTCTACTGCCACTTGCGGACTTGGCTGTACATCGGATGTGGCGTCTGAATCCGCACTACAATAAGTAAAACAGCACTATCAGAACCGGATAAAAATGGAGCTCCAATATGGAAAGACGAATAAAATTATCGGGAGAATAGGGGGATAGTTTTCATCCTACATCGAGGGTCGCTTCAACAAAGAAATCAATTCTTGAGTGAAACCTGAAGCCCAATATGACTCGGATCTGCTGAAAGACTAATGGTACTCTATGGATCAAGCAATGCTCTCGAGTTCGGGCTTCCCATTTGGAAATTTTTACCACACGACTTGACACGGACTGGCCGCGGGGAACAAGGGATCAAATCGAGACTTTCCTGCTAAATTTCATTGATACTGTGCGTACGTTCTCATAAAAACTCTTGAATGGTGAAAAGAGGCCGAAGTCCAGACTTCCAAAATGATCATCAAATGAAAACGTGAATATATTGCGATTTCAACCCATACGATTACGCATGTATTTTTTAAAATGAAGCATAAAATTATGTTTCCGCATTTTTGGTATGTACCACCTGTGATTACAGACATGCTCGTTAGAAAAATATTGCACATCTGACGGCGCGAACCTTAAAATCATCAACTTAAAGACTGCACTCACAAGGATGATACTTCAGGCGGTTGATTGCCAGCAGGGGTGTAGACCAGATCTTTCAAAAAATCCGGCAATGGGTTTGCTTGACTCGGCATCAGCGACAACGCGGTGTATTTGGAAGACCCAGAAAAGGAATCTGCAGCGCTCGGCTCGAATACCGGGCTCAGATCAGAAATGAATTGGCTGAACGGATTATTCACAGCTGCTGGCGCCGAACTTTGCAACGGAGACAAATGAGACTCGGAAGTATCCATAAAGCTGTCCTCCTCGTGCTCAGTTTTAACCAAATTCAGATCGCACTCGAGTGAGGGAATTCCGTACAGCCCGACGGTAGATTCCGGACATGGAGACTGCATCGGCTGCAACGGTTCGTGCGACGGCGGAGTCGGAAACATGCTGCATAGTTCCGCATGATTGCAGGAACTGAAAATGTGTCCTGAAGGAGGGGTGGGATTGTTTGCAGGTACGTTCGTCAGGATAGGTCTGTTCGGTACCAGCTTTCCTTCCTCTTCAGGCTTGTTGGAACCAGGCGGTGTAGGTACATCGACAACGGTTGCATCATGCTTCAAAATTAAGTTAAAATTGTTTCCGGTTCAAGTAAAATTCCAAACGAAGTCAATAGATTCAGCTAAAATGATAAATTCACCAAAAAAGACCACTTAAATTACCATATCATCTTCACGATCTTCCTCAGCGAACAACTGGTCCAAGTCGTCGAGCGTAGGAACAAGATCTTTGTCTGAATACATTGAAAACGGAGTGGATTTAAGGTTGTTTTGTTTGTTTTCCGACGGCTGAGTCCCAGGTTCTATTTTCACGACGACTTCTTCATCTGTCGGTGGCTTGTTCTGCAATTGACATGATCCAGTACGCTGCTCGTCAAATTCATATGGATCCGACTGGAGTTTTGACACAGCCTCGTTCAACTAGGAAGAGAAACAAGGAATGAAAACACAAATTTACACAATAACAACAACAAATAATTACCAAAAGCATTTCTTGCTGCTGCCATCCCGAATCAACGCATTCCAATACTGGCTTGCAATCAAACAAATCGTCCAACAACGATAACTTCGCGACTCCGTCTGACACGGGCATGCTGACCCAAGCAGAAATGGAAGTGAAGTCGTATAAGCTGGCTTGAAATGTAGACTGCTGTCGCTCTACGATAGCAAGCTTTTCGTGATCAGACATTTCCAACCGCGGTAGAAGGATTGGTCGGGCCTCAGAGTCTTCAGATTTTGAACCTCCCGGTCGCCACGATTCTGCTCTTTCTTCTTTCACATTACTTGTTTGGAATGGCTGCTCGGAAGAAAATTTTTTTTAATATAATCATGGCTCTAAAATGTAATAAGGAACTGTCTTATTTCGAGTCTTCGGAATGTTGCTCATGTTTCGAACGTGAGAAAATCATCCCAAAAACAGTCGATGTCATTAGACAACGAATTCACATCAATAGCCAGACTTCTTCGCTTGTTTCAGGTTTGAAAGCCATCCTAAGCTTTACGGTCTCGTCATTAATCGAAAAAACCAACAGAACTTCATAAAATATTAGGATTTCCATGTTTCATCACTGTATACGATAGAATTGTGTCATTTTCAGCGCAAAAAAATTATATCAAAGATGTTGAAAAGTATTTTTTATCCGCGAATATTGCAAGTGCACTACAAATCATTATCTTCTGGCATGACAGTTCGAAAAGAACTTCCATCGTAAGATCTGCTTACGACTCTCTCGAGTCAGCAGAGAATGACACAATCGCTCATTACTATCATAAGATCACTGAATATAAAAATGTTCTGAATGACGATCCACGAAGAAAAATGGAATATCATCAAATCAAGAACCAACTTACCTCGCATAATTTACTTCCAATAACTTAACAAAATGAATACAGAAATATCTTTCTACGATTTTTGAGACGAAGAAATTCGGCCAAATCTCACTTGTGGGTGCATGATACTTAAGGATGATGCTGTACTGTACTTAGATTGGTTTAAGTACTTTAAGACAAAGTAGACTAGAGGCAAGATAGGGACAATTTCAAGGCCGATTCATTGATTCCGCCTGAGACATTAGATAAAGTCTTTTCACATAATTATTACAAAAATCGAAGCTAACCTGAGAATTGATCAGATCCTGACTTTCATTGGAATCCACAGCAACATTTTCAAATTTCATCTTGAAATTATCAGCCTCACAAACCCCCTGGGGCATCTGCGGATTGAAACACAAATTGCTGGCCATTGTAACGCCCGCTGCCGCAGGATCGGGTACAGAGTCTAAGAAAGAAAAAAAAAAGGATTAAAAAATATTAACATAAACTAAGAAATTCAAATTATTTGCCTGGTTGCGAAAGAAGGGAAGGAGGAGTTGGTCCAGGCGAAGCACCAAGAGAATACACCGGAGACATGGCTTGCATTTGCACCCCCGGTTTCACTGACTCTAACGAATTCACAGCTTTCAGCGTCCTACAAAGGTACAAAATACTGTATACGTTACTGAACTATATTCGTAAAAAAGGAACTCACTTTTGCCTCCTCGCATGACTCTCCATCATGTTCATCAAGTTAGAAACCTTATCACTTCGGGGAGACCTTCGATGGAATGGCTTTACCGATTTCCATCGCCGCTTGTCAGGGTCACTCCTGAGATTTAAAATCAGATTATCAAGTGTACACAAGCCGCGATACCACATGGAATTGCATCATTTCGTTTTATCGAAAATGAAAAAAGCACCAGGACATAAATACTGAATTAAACTTGAAACTCACTTGACCGGGCCACAGGAACACAGCGATTTATTGGTGATTAATGTGTCGGTGAAATCCCATAGTCCCACCTCATCCTTTGGAACTTCGCATAATGCGGGGGGAATATCGGATGCAGGAAACATCAGGCCTTTCATCAATGATGCGTCAGTCATGGCAATGCTCTCAAGAGGAGCCATGTTGGAGAAACGAGGCCAATGCTCTGTCAAGTCAAAATACAGTACGATGCAGGTAGGTTCAAGTACCTCCACGGAATTTTTCCGTTCCAGCAAATGTTTCATACTTGTGCCGTGAAATCAAATTGGCGCGCGAGTAAAATACGCGGGGAAAAATCAAGTCAGGTAAGACGGCAACGGTATTCCTTCGGAGAGGAATATCAGAAAAATACGATAGAAACGAGTTCCACAACTGTAAAAAGTACAATCAATTAAGTATTTCATGACAGCGATTCTTTAACAGTACTGTATATCATATTCCTTCGGTAAATTGATGAAAGTTAATATCAATTTGCGCACAACGACGCTGTGATTTCATGAGCACGAGGCCAAGATTACCTATACTTACACAGAAGAACTTCGATTTAAACGCTCTCGTTTCAAAAAGTATACAGTGCTGTACTTGCTTCTAGCGTAACAGCAATGGATATGATAATCGTTGCGAATGTTCTGAATGCAACCTCCGGAAGACGAATTCTTGAATGGGAAGTACAGTATGAATTGCCTACTACACAGTGACATGACACGCGAACGTCATACAAAGCCAAAGCAACTCCAATCAACTGTATACATTCCCACTCATCATATGAACCAGTCGGAACAAAAGGTGTTAAAACCGGGTCCAACGGCAGTTGTCCCGTGAATGGGACAGTCTCGCTTCAACTAACCAACTTGTGCCGCGAAAGAAAATCAATTATGTTGTTTCAACTACTTTCACTTTCAACTGAAGTGTTCGATGTTTTATCGTCGAGCGCGGAATTAAATTTGGTCCCCAAGCCAAAAAGACGCGTGTTAAATACCGGAAACATATTTCGAATACAGTACCGCAGTTCACGGATCACGATTTTTCTTTCATTCAATAGATCTTTCGATCTTCCATTACTACTATATGTAATCTTTCGAAAATATTCACAGCTGAACGATGTCAAAAATCTCACTCACTTGCTGTTCGGATTGGAACAGGTTGCAACTGGGTACGCCTTTTCAGGGGGTGGTGCTGCAGAATTGGCAATTTTCGGTGTCGCGGACGCTTCCATTCCAACCGTCCCACATCACAACCGCTGCTCTCATCCTCCACAACCAAAACGTAAACTGCCGGGTACAACATTCGCACACCACCAACAACGACCGGCACCATCAGTGGAACGCCAGTTTTCTTCTGCTGCTCTTTGGAACACACGCACACTGCGATCAACTCGTCTTTCGAATTCGACGAGGATCCTGTGCTATCTCTTGACCACTTATCCCCACAACACATGCAATTCGCGCATGATCCACTGAAGCATGAACAGCCAGATGATCCGGGTAGTGTGCAGCATCTATGCGAAGTCAAAGCTTCCAAGGGATAGTAACGATTCCATTCATCCCACAGCTTTTGACTGTCACGTTCTTCTTCCGGTAAAATGGCATTCTCTAAGGTGCCTGCTAATCCAAATGGAGCCAGAATCACAGGCACGCCATTCGAGGAACAACCCGCAGTCTCCAAGTGTCTGCGGTTCAACCAGAAAACTGGAGGATGCCTACGCACATCCAAACTTGCACAGACTGTGCTTTCTCCATGGACGAAAAAGGAGAAAGCAATCGGAAGGTGGAAGCCGGTAGACCTATAAGGAAAAATAATCGGAAATTAAAGTGATTTCAATTATATCACTCATCATCGAGCAATTTTGGATATACAGTACCTCAATTTAACACGGCAAATGCTTATTTCGGTGTTTATTTCAACATTTATTGAAGCTTCTTGCCTCTCACACAGCCTGCATCAAAAGAGGTCCCGCAGGGACCTCTTCGCGCAGGTAGTCAACCATAAAATTTAGACCATCCGTTTATCGTTGCATTTGAACAGTTAACATATATGCCACCGCAATACAGTACTATATATTTAAACTTCCAAGTTCTTCCTCCACAAATTTCGCATTGATCTTTTCTTAAAGAGAATTGAAAGATTGTTCCTTCTCGTAATTCATTCGGAACTGCGTTTAATACTTTTTGGAAATTGTATTTTCTTGAAGAAAATTCAGCCCGAATTGGAAGCAGAAGATGTGGCGAAACATTTGGTAGGATCTTGAATACGAAATGTGGGGAAGTGATGATCTCTCCTACGTTTTATTTAAATTTCGCCTTTAACAGCTTGAATAACTCATCTTTAATTTTACTCTCGATACTGCGGGGAGTCAGGAATATCCTGGTTCTGGTGCAGAAAGATGCTTCTAAAACAGTATACAGCAGGTGACAAACTAGTACTCCTGCCTAATCGTCATTGAAATAGTACATCACAGCATTAGGTAGCATATTCATCTAAGAATCGACTTGTACAGGAAGAGCGACTCACTGGGGTGGATACTGGTCCTCGTCCATAGGCTGTACCAACCACTTCGCAAGACGCACAAATCCACGAGACAGAAGAAGCCTTTCTATGCGATTATGCAACGCCTTGAACATCAATGAGCGACATTCATACGTCAAGCCGTTTTCCCACGAGCCCTGCTCCTCGTCTAGTTAGGAAGAAGAGAATGATGACCTGACACTACTGGCACTGACAACTAAGAACTCACCTATCAGGTCTTTGCCAACAATTCCAACGATGTCCGTTTGTTCGCCATACCAAAATAGCCAAAGCTCTTTCTTTTGCTCAACCAGGGGGGGGCTGGGACTCCGCGGACATCCCGGAGCGCGCCTCCAGACGCACAGGATGTCCGTTTCCAGGCATTTAGCATACGCGTTGAGGATAGCATCTGCATGCCAATCAAGGCCTGACCGGGCATCTTTCGATGAATATCGACCCCACTTGATGCCACACAAATCCGTCTGAAAATGAATGATGTATGCGGTATATTTCGGCAAGCTCATCACAAAAGAATAGTACTTACGAGGGCGAAGAAATTCGTGTGGCAATCCTCCAGACTAGCGCCATTGGTTGCTCCAGCAGATTGCGACATAGCTGGTTATATGATTTGGGTAAAATGGATCGAGGAATTCATCAAGATCCAATCAATCCCTGAACACCATGAAACAAGTTTTAGAGGCCCCGACGCCTCTCTTGAAACTATCACACTCCAACCCTGACACGTGCAGGGACAGGCGGTGCACAAGAGAACTTTCTTCCGATCAACATCGGAAAACCACGTTCAACAGCATGCGAAGATCGTCTCAGTGCATTTCGTCAGCGATGGTCGTAATCACGAGGACGTCAAACCATTTCTGAGAAGGCTGAAAGTTTCCAAAATTACGGGCACATATAATCACAGAAATAAACAAGAATTCTTTATCCCCTCTTCATAACTTTAATTCCGCGTTGATCTGAAGCTCTCTTCCAGGTACCCCGCGCTCGAAAAATTGGCTACGAGGACGCGACATGGTCCAGATTCAGGGGAGAATAACAAAGCTTTAAACATCGTTCACAAATTTCCACCAATGTTCAGAAATAGATCATTCACAGCGAAAGCAGTGATGATCACCGACACACATGATCTCCGATATCCCCCGGGTACCGCTTCGCAAATGTTGATCAGGTTCAATGGACCACGCACGCCGCTCGTCCACAAGTAGCGGAATTTCGGAAGCATGGTGTATGCAGCGCCGCCATTACGAAGCGGGGCATCTTCTATTTAACTGGCCGCGTTTTTCAGGTAGGGAGTGAGCTATTGCAATGCTGTATGTTGAATGTGAGCACGAATTTCATAGTACAGTACAATATAGTAATTTACTACAGTATTCAGCAGAGATTATAAAAGTAATCTGACTGACCAGGTATGGTAAACCGTTTTTAAATACCTGCAGCATTATAAGCAGCAGCTGCTGTTAACTGGACTACAGCATGCACCCCAGCAGCACAATTAACATATGACAGAATGCAGCAACAGTCTAGATTTGTCCCAGCTAAGAAAATTTTGAGGGCATTGAGGATACTAGAAGTTATGTTGGCTTTTATGACGGGAGTAACAGGAAAAAATATTTCTCAAGTACATATACAGTACTGCAACCTTCTGATGATATTTAATGATGGGGTTTGTGATTATCCCATATTTTAACCTATAATTTTTTCCCTTATATACATATTGTACATTGAAAACCAACCGTATACAGTATACATCGAAACATCCTCACGTGGTACGTCGATCATAAATTACTGTTGAAGAAATATTCAGAATGCCTTTACTAAAATCACGAATTAATTTTATTTGGAATTGAATGCGGCAAAGCTTCATATATTCATCATGATAATTTTCATGGAAAATAAGTTCCCCAAATAAGGACGGAGCTCATTATTTGTTCATCAAATCGGATTCAGAAAATTCTGCATGTACAGGATATGCTGTAACTATAATTATAAGAGACAATAAATTCAGCCTCTGCGATATTGCATAGGCCAAACATATTTGAAAATTTTAGGCTTCTGAACAATTATTGCTGCTGTCTGATATGAAAAACCCGCCATGCTGAACGAGGAATTCAAGTATACATTCTGAAAAATATTTTCCTGCACCTTTTCAAAACAAATATATAGGTCCATCATTTTATGATCTGTCATTAAGCATATTACATACTACTGTGCTGCACATTCTCCTAAAATTCAATTTTGACCCATTTATTTTGATCCTTTGTTTCAATCTTGTATCATCTATGTATTTTGTTAAAGTAATTGAAAATAATGTACTGCTGAATTCAAATACAGTATACAATACAGTACTGCATGGCAATTACGGTACATACTATGCTGCATTTGATGTTGAAACCCTTTGCAATCCGGAGTAGCTCTTTCAAAGGCATTGCTTGTGAACCGCCCTGCATTCAAAACATTCGTCGCCTTGCCCACACCGATGTCGAAGTTTAGGTATCCGACGAGCACGGATAGCGTGTTGAACGATCTTTGGTACAGCTGGTCCTTGGGAGTGTAGTTGAGGTGAATTTTTTGAGTAATACGTGGGAATAGAAATCGCGCAACCGAAGCTTTGAAAATCTGGAACTGGCCAGGATACGTGACGTGTGGTGATGTGGAAGATAAATATTTTCGTCCTTCAACAGAATGGAATTTTATTGTGTGCCTGATACGAACTTTATATTCGTGTTGAATTTCGTCTTCAATTTCAAATGACCGATCATTCTCTTATTCACGATGGAGCTGCAACGACACGCACCCAAAATCGTTCGTCCACCAAATGCGAGACGAACGAAGATTCACGAATCTGGGTTGCCAGTGACCGAAAGGGTGTGTGATTGCATTACTTGCGAATTTTTTCTTCCAGCCTGGAGGTGTGTTTAGCATCTTTAAAAAATATAACGAACATTAAGGCTCTAAACCTGTTGCTTCTATCCGTGTTTTCGCGAAACAAGTCATGACGGAGTGTTACAGCCGAATGCCATTGCTCAGTTGAACATTTTCGTTGCCTGCGTTCTCATCGCGTGACTGAATGAAACCTTTTTAATGGTATAAAAATTAAATCACTAATGCCCCCCTTCTCATGCAAAGTTTCCGCCGTTGTCTCCTGAAACGATCCTCCCATATTTTTTCCCTCAGGTGAAGTTGGAGCGTGTCCTGGGTCTCACGTCAAGCTCCAATACTGCTATCGCCCAAGACCCAAACACAGGATCTCTCGCTTATGCAGCGGGGTGAGTTTAGGCGTCGATCTATATTTTTCATTTCACTGTATGAAGTGGTAAAATCAAGCTCGGAACCATCTGTTGTTCAGTTGTTTTCCTTTGTTCGTTTAGTGTCCGCTCTGGATTATTTCTTCGAGTCACATGAGATTTCTTGCTGTCTTTTGACATTGTACCCGTTGCTTTGAGCCAAAAATTACTGTAGTTGATTCCGGTACTTCTCAAATGCCGTTGCAGAGAAGAGGCCTGTATACAATCACTGTAATGTACTTGCGTTCTGCGTACGATTTATTTTTACAGCCTTTGTCATAAATAGTATTTTTTCTCGCGTTGCGTGGGATTTCGCGACAGTACGTAAAGTGAACCCGTAACTCTCCATTTCTGTGCAGGTGCGTTATCGTAGTGTTTTCGCCTTTGAAACCACCGCCCATGCCAAGTAATGGTGCGACGCCGAGTAAGAATCGACAATGGAAATACTTGCAGAGCAACAGCAGGAAAACCATAACATGCCTCGCATTCTCAAAAGATGGGATGTTCTTGGCATCTGGAGAATGCGGGCACAATCCTTGCGTACGGGTATGGGATGTCGCACTGCGTGTGGAGCATGCCGTCTTCATGGGTCATAAATTCGGCATAAATTGCGTTGTATGTTGTGTGGAATGGCGAAACGAACACTTTTATTCGATTGCTACGTTTTTCCCAACAGGCTTTTTCCCCTGCCCAAAAATATTTGGTATCTGTTGGAGCACAGCACGATCAGATCGTCAATGTCTGGGATTGGAAGCATAAAGCAAAAGTCGCGAGCAATCGTGTTTCAACGAAGGTTAAAGCCGTCGATTTTTCCGAGAACGGATGTTATTTTGTCACCGTAGGCAATCGACACGTGAAGTTTTGGTATTTGGATTACTCTAGGGGAAACAAGAAGGTTAGTTGACCACGCCGGATGGATTTACGTTGTGTGTAACGCTTATGTTTTTCAACAGATTAAAGACCCCGTACCTTTAACTGGACGGTCTGCAATCCTCGGCGAGCAAGGCAACAATTATTTTGTTGATGTTTGTTGTGGTGTTGGTGATGCTGGTGACTCAACTTTTGCCGTGACAAAGTCTGGGTTACTTTGCGAATTCAACAATAGACGTTTGTTGGACCGCTGGGTTGAGTTGCGGGTGAGAAACATTCTCATATCATAGTAACATTTCCCATAATACCGTACTGTCTTCTTGGAGATTATTTCTACATTCATTCGACTTCTTCGTTGTACAGACCAAATGTGCCCATGGGTTGAGCGTGGGTTCGTCATCCGTGTTCATTGGATGTGACGACGGTATTGTTCGCTGCTTTGATCCTTCGACGCTGAAGTTTAGAATGACTTTACCTCGTCCCCATTACCTTGGAGTTGATGTTTCTAAAGGTCTTTCGGTCAAGTGAGTTCATTTTTCTATCGTGATTATTCGCTTCTTATTCGCGATGGCTTCGAATTTTAACCGTGCGTTATTGAGGATATGCAAGAACTCCATGTTCGATTCTTCAAATCAGACATTCTTTGTCATTCAATTTTTCTGAAGAATTTAAATGATAGTTTCGAGTGCGTTCGAACAAATTTGTTTCACTAGCGCTTTATTATGATTGGATGTGAAATTCTGCAAGGATTTGTGGGAAATTGTTGGCTTGATCAAGTTCCTTCGTGTCGGGTTGAAATCGTTCTTCAGAAAAAAGCCAGTTAAAAGTGTTTGCGATAATTGAATGATGTATTTTTATATTATTTCAGCCACATGGCTACTCAGCCTTCAGACGCCGTTTACCCCAGTTGCGTTGGTGTCAAGTATGATCAAGTTCATGAGAGAGTGAGCTGTATCTACAACGACCATTCCCTGTATGTCTGGGACGTGACAAACCAACACCAAGTGGGCAAAAGCCATAGTTTTTTATTTCACTCGGGCTGTATTTGGGGTATTGAGGGCTATCCGACGGTGGGAGATGGAGTGAAAGCCCTATTGCCATTTGGAACGTTTTTCACATGCTCTTCGGATGATACTATTCGGATTTGGAACTTGAACCCGAAGATGCCGACTAACACGCTTTATAAGCGGAATATATATTCTAATGTGAGTACCATCATTTAGTTTTATTCAGCTTTCTAATGAATAATGCTGTACTTCCTTGCGAGGAAATTTTCCTGTCGAGTATTTTTTTTTTTCGGAAATAATGGTGAAATCTACGAAGTTGTCCAGTAAGCTTTGACATTGAGTACAGTACTGTACTTCATTAAATACGAGCATTATGCGATTTTTAAACTTTGATTGTCAATATAATTTGCGAAATTGAACTCATCAGATACTTTTCCTTAGGAGCTGTTGAAAGTTTTGTATGTCGACAAAGCCATGACTCACCTTTGTGATAAGAATCAGCATATCTTCGGATCGCCTGGGAAGGCTGGTGGAGAAGACTCAGTGTTCGACTCCTCAAATGGCGTACGTTGCCTTAAAATTTCATATGACGGAAAACACTTGGCTTCGGGTGACAGAAGTGGCATCATTCGGTGAGACTTTATTTTTTTACTGACAAAAAAAATTTTCTCCGCGCATTCACACCACCCCTTTCTCTTTGCTTTGAAACCACTTGTTTTCATCCAACAGGGGATCAAAATATTTATATGCTCCGGATTTTCATTTTTTTTTTTCAAGGGTTCATGAGATGCAATTTATGGATGAGGTTGTGCGCATTGAAGCCCACGAAGCCGAAGTATTAGCTTTGGAATACAGTCGTCCCGAAAGCCCGGCAGCGAAAGAAACGAAACAACGTAGTTTCTTAGCCTCTGCCTCACGGGATCGCTTAATTCATGTATTCGAGGTTCACAAGGAATACGATGCTGCGCAAACATTGTCTGATCATTCTGCGTCGATAACATCCGTTCGATTTGTTCAACCTGTCGAAGGCGGACTGCGCTTGTTGTCCTGTGGTGCAGACAGATCCGTAATTTTCCGCGAAGCGGATGAGCCGGTATGATTCCTGTCTTTCCCTAAATTCCAGTGACGAAATTGGATCCCTGTCCTAGGCGAAAAGGTTTAAAATGACTAATTCATAGGCTTACAATTTTCTTGTTTTTATTGATAGGCGAGACCCGAGTAGTGCAAGAGATTGATATGAATTGGCGAATAAGGTTAAAGTACGTATGTCGCTTGGTTACCGCGCAATGAATTGGAATGTTGGTTGCATTAATTGATAATCTGGATTCACATTTATTGACGTTAGAAAGATTGCTATCTTCACGATGTTGTGGTTTTTCGATCTGCCCAAAGGTGACGGGGAAGCCTGTTGAATTCAGTAGGTATCATATTGTTACCGGGAAGAACACCTTATACGACATGGAAGTGGACATGTCCGGGCAACATTTGCTCACCGCGTGTCAGGACCGTTGCGTGCGTGTGTATTCTTTGCCGACAGGTAAACATATTCGCACCTTCAAGGGATCACAAGCTGAAGAAGGTACTCTTATAAAGGTTTGTGAGCTTTCTAAAAAAAGTTTTGATACTTATTCCTTCCTTTTTTTATCTGAAATGTATTTAAACATAGAGTCGTAAAGGTTGGTTTCGTGTGGTGCGATTAATGAGGAGTCATTATGTCCAAAACGATTTCACTCCGTCAGTCTGTTTTTTATGTATGCCGTGTCACATGTTGTTCTTGAATTTATTTTTCAACAGATTGTCTTGGATCCGAGTGGCATGTACCTTGCGACAAGTTCCACTGACAAAACTTTATGTATCTACGACTATTGCACCGGAGATGTTATGGCAGTGATGACTGGCCATGCTGAAATCGTCACAGGCCTGCTTTTCTCCGCCGACTGCAAGCATCTGATATCGGTTTCTGGTGATGGATGCATATTTGTTTGGCGTCTGTCTTCCGACATGACACGTGCTATGATCAGTCGCCTGAAGCAGCAGCCAGCAAGGTGAGTTCGTTATTTGAGGACTTGACGAAGTCGGTTGAAAATTTCTGTCTTAAATTTTAACTCAACTATTTTTTATGTATCTATTTGCTTCTTATTCTTTCATAGACGAACCACTTCGCATCGCATTCCTCTCGCGCCGACGGAAAACGTGTTGGAATCACTGCAGAATTCGAAGAATGGTTTCATGAAAGAGGATGATTCCACGCAATACAAGTGAGTTTTCAATTTACGTTCGGTGGCTTGTTTTTTGTGAAGCATTCCGATGTCCTATTGATTTTCTAGTTGGCAATTCTTCGTAATTTTTGCGATGTTCAGAGATTTTTAATACCGTAACACCTCAGTATTCGTAAAATGTCAATGCACATACAGTACAGTATTCCTCTTTTTAGGGACACTCAAATTTTACCACCGAAACTGATATGGATTCTGTTGACTTATCGGATTTTTGTATTCGTATCTTCATTGAGATAAATTGAGCTTATCACAATTATAGTTCCATTCGCGCTTTCAAGGCATTAATATACTTTGTTCCCTCCTTGTAGGTTCAACATTGGCCAGTTACCATCATGGGCAAAGAAACAGATCGAAACCATGAATGCCAAATCTTTGAGATCTGCCAGATCCGATCTGAACGTCAACGGGAACGCGAATGTTCGTGGATCTGAATTTCCGAAAGGCAGATGGGCCCAACGAATTGATAATTCTAGTTCCCAGTCACTCACTGTACGCTCCCATCATTTCTCCGACACATCCATCCCGTTTCCTGTTGCACCGGGTGAGTATTTTAAACTCATGAAAATGTGCACCTGAATTTTCTCACTCGTCGTTATATTAAAATTATCCAATGTCTCGTTCTTGAATGGAATTTCCCATTTACATGATTTTATTTCCCTTCCGAAATGACGAACATATCTTATTTGCTCATTTTCTTCTAGGTCCACATGATTCTGAGTCGTCAAAAGATAGCTCATCATTGGAGAGCGCTGGAAATCCATTCGAAGCGAAAGAAAAGGTTTGTAATGATTATTCCTGGCCCCATTTCCGTGACATGATTCATGAGATTCTCGTAGGACGGATGTGATTCCCCATATCTGAATCGATATGGAACGTACGAAAGCTATATCAAGGATTTGGAAATCTGTGAGGTATTCATTTTTCCAAATAGCAGTAAAAGATGGTCTGGTATCACATAAGCTGTACAGCTGCACAGGGGCTCTGAGATGCTTTGTAAGTGGGGTGTTTCTGGGAATTAGTTGGACTTTCAAAAAAGAAAGCTGCATTTTTTGTGAAGTACTGTACGTTGCCCAGTTAAGTGAATCAATTCAACAGAAATGTGCTTTTTGACAGGTTCCGAGGAATCCGTTTCGGCGAGCGAATGAAGACAGTAAGAGACATTTCACGGATGATAGCAGCGTTAATAGTTTCCCGTTGGAGGTTTGTTATTCTATTTTGCTCGATGAATTCATCTTAGGTTTTCGGTGTGCTGCTGTTCCTATAGCTTGATGTTATGCACATATTGTATGACAAGTTTTTACCAGAAAATTATTCATCCTAGAAAATTACTACAGTGTTACTACTGATTTCTCGAAAGTCGTGAAATTATTCCCAGTGCAAACGATTTACTGAATATTGTACTGAATTGGCGGATTTTTAAGAATGCATGTACATACATACGACTTCGTTCAGCCATTCGATATAAGTTGCAGTCTTGCAGAGTTCCATAAAGCGTAGTGTGCTTTTGATGAAATGAAAAAATAGAACTGTTCGTGATGTATGAGTTTAGTATTCAAAGTATTGTTCACTTCAATTCGATTCATGAATGATCATGCACAAGAAGTTCGCCATGGCCGTGTACTCTGGGTCTGCCGCACAGACAATCACACAGTACATTCGCCTGAGGTTTTTTGACGGCCGTGGATTAGAGTGGCACTCCTAAATTAGCCTGTTACATACATCAGACTACCAGTTACAGTACCGTATTTCAACGGTTGACGCTTTTCGTAGGGCGGAGAAACTGAACACGAAGGTGATATTGATGAAGATTTTTCTGATACCGAAGAATCTGGCGAAGAACTGCGACGTGATGAACCCACGCTTTACATTCCCCATAATTTGGAATCAAATTTGTGAGTGCTATAAGGAAGAAAAAAAAGGCAGTCGAACAGATAGCTTGTATGCTTTTTGCTTCTTCGCACAGAACTTATACCGTGAATGAAATGGATGAAGAGGAGTTGAGGAAATCTCGCCGTAAACGACATGCCCGACGTCAGTCAGATATCCAAAATCTGTATTCCACTTCTGTTTCGGGTAGCCAAGAAAGTGATCTTGACACTGACTTCGTCGAGAGAATGGATAAACTCAGAGAAGATCAGCTGCATTCCACTACCCCGTCCACTCCTACGGCCGATCCGTCTGAAAGAAATATCCACGGTCTCAGTGTGAGGTGCGGTTGGCGTCGCGTGGCGTGATTTATTGCTTCTGCTTTTCCTGTAAAATTTCTTGCCTATTCATGACTGATATTAAAGTATTACCAATACTGCATTCTTCATTCTGCATCATCTTGACAGAATGAATGGTACTGTATATTGAACTGACGAATTTAATATGTGATTTTCGTTGGATCTCAATTTCCACCTCGAACGATCTGATCTTAAACTTGATCCTGTTCTTTGTATTTCGGTCATGATGCAGAAATAATGTTTTGGATAGTGTAAGTAACTTGTTATTTTTGTATTACAGCACGGAAAGCTTGGATCAGTTGAAACAACGAGAAGTTTACATGCTACGGAACTACGACAGTTTATCCGAGCAACGAACTGCGCAATTCACACCACGTGGTTCAATGGACAGTGGAAAAACCATGTCATCAAAGTTTTATTCGACTCAGTATGCCCGCGGAGATATCGAAGTTAATGGAGACTATCATATAAGCACCAGTCGGAAATCATCCATAAAAAATGCTGACATCATTGAGCAGGTCTTGGAACCACAAAGACGTGGTTCGCTTAAACGACAAGAATTGATCAAGCAAATTGAAGAAAGCAAACGGAAATTGGCAAGTGTGAGTTCTTCACCTAGAAGTTTGTATTTTTCTGGTTGGCCGTAGAAACTGTTTCACGCAAGATAAGTGATCGAATGATGCACATCTTTACTGCACGTTGTTTGCTGATCGTACTTCGTATTTTATTTTTATTTTTTCGACTGGTTCTAGATAATTGCCATATCTTGTACCTGTCGGTGCCGACCTGTAAAAATATCATACTGAAAATTGCTTTCACGGAAACCCGCTCAAGTGGATTCGCAATTTGTCTATCGAACCTATTGTGATCTATTGATGTTCTCATCATTTAATTTTTGTGAATGATTTTTTCATTCAACAGCTTGGTTGCACCAGCCTTCGCGGGAGCAGGAGCATCTCGGATTTGAGCAGGGTGCCTGATTCGGATGTTGAATCAAGCGGGGCGCCATCTCTCCAAGCACCTTTAGGATCATCTGCCCTCAGCATTTCCCCAGGTAAAAAATTTCTCGGATCAATACTCCCGCAATACATTCAGAGCTTGCGCAAGAAAGCCACTCTGCTTCCGGGATTGTCGAAGCTTCGTCGCGGATCATCGGACGGTAATTTGTTGAACCGAACCTCGGGCAACTGCCTTTCCGTAATCGCGAATGGCTGGCCGGATCGCGCGAAAGAAGCCCCCGAGCCAGTAATTCAAACCGTGGTCAGTATGCCCGATTTATTGCGCGCGGATATTGGGTCAATTGTCGACGTGGCCCAGATTCCAGACCGCGGTGCGAAGAAAAGGCTACGATGGCACAGACTGAGCTGTCCAGAAACTATTCCCGAAAACATCGAGCCTGATCCTCGGCGGTTCACCGCCCAGGACCCCGCTGGAGACCTCGATCTTTTTCCTGAGCGTCTGCAGCCCAGCACTCCTGAAGTACCAGTTCAAAAGCTTTCATATTTTTTGGAAAATAAGCCAAAGCCACTAACGATTCCAGTGGTGGTTGGCAGTAGGTGAGTGGATGCGAGTCGTTTTCTTTCCAACTCGTATTAGAATTTTGCCAATTTCAGTAGAAATCCAATTATCGGGGAGAGTGAATGGATTTTTTTGTCTTTTCAATCAGTCGGAGATAATTCAAACTGAAATAAATCTTTTACACATGGACCGGATGCACCTTGATAGTGTTTCTGCCATTCCCGCTAATCTTGAAACTCATTGGCCGACGTGATCAAAGACGATATTTCAGATAATCAAGCCTTGACTAATTCTAATTCTATAATTGGCGTGAACAGCTACACAACCTTCAATTTTATCGGCGGAAAATGAAAGCGGTTTAAATGAAAGCCATTTAGGCAAATGAGTTTTCTCCGAGTGAATGGAATTTTAATCACTCATAATCCAAGCTCTGATAATCTGAATTCTATTGTACTAAATCTCGAGTTAGCTACTGCTGAACGTCTTGCGCAAGAACTAATTGCGAAAGTTCAAGCATTTTTCTGAGTTCTTGAGTTATAAATTTCGGAAACTTGAAATTTATAAGAATTGTATTTGCATGATTATCGGTTGAAACCTAATCTGGATGCGTAGTGAATATTTACATCTCTATTCGTTGGACCTTCTGAATGTTAAGTAAGTTTATTGATCGAACTTTCCCCAACTAAAATTTGATCTGCATGCTTCCATTGTGAGAGTGGGTAGAAGTGGATTGTCTTGTAATTCCGGAAGAATTTTTCGATTATGAAGAAATTTCACTTGACAAATCTCCATACTCTAGAATAAATTTTGGAAAGCTAATGCATTAAAATGGACGACTCGTTGAAAATTTAATAGCGAGAGTGTAGACGATGGTTACGTGAGCCCGGAGGCGCCGCTCCGGACGCCAGGATTTCCGGGTTGGCCGTCAAGTCCCGGGTTGTTATCAGAGAGATTGAAACGAAATCGACAGCGTTGCATCTCGGGTGCCGGGAAGAATGCGGAGCCAAACAGCAGTGAGCGAACGGCGAGTTCCGCCATGTCGAGCGACTCTTGCTACTTTTCTAGTTCGCCGTCGCCGCACTCGTTCCCTGTACATGCCAATCGCGCGTTGAGGAAACTAGTTGCGAGGAACGGGCTCTTGCCGGACTTATTACCTCCGAAAGGAGCCGGTAAATTTAACCTGCCAAAACGTTATGGCACGATTTGCATTCCTGCTTGTGGTTTCGGTTGCAGCCTTACATTGTTCGCACTTGAAGCGCTGGATTTCTATCCTGACCTTATGGCTTCATTTTTCAGTTTTTTTTTCACGGAATGGCGCGTGGACATTTTGTTCCTTCATACAGCATGGAGTTTGACAGAGAACGCGTTTTCTTTGAAAGAAGTTCTTAAAATGGATAAATTAAATTAAGATTCTTCCCGAAAGGCATGTGTTACAACAACGTAATTTACTAACTAAACCCCGACGAGTAAAAACTCGCCTGAAAGAGGAATCCGACGGAACTCCGATTATCCAGATGGAAAAAAGGTTGTTTTATGGTGTTGCTGAAACATTCTGGATAATGAAATTCTTCACTGCATAGTATTCAGCAATTCTTTTCCCACAGATGAGCGAATTTATTAAACCTAACGTAATCCAGTATTATTCCACTGTATGACCTTCCAAACATCTAGGAAAATCTAGTGCGGATAATTAACTAATGTTCCATGAAAATTAAAATATTGTAAATTCTCATCCGACGATAAAATTGTTCGAGAAAATTATAATTGTTACGCAATTCAATGTTGCTTAATTGGAACAATTTAGTGGTGAACATTTTTTTTTAACGAAATGCTGGTGAATCAAAGAGATTTTTGGCCCAATTTGATTTTATGCAAGCCTTCATTTCCTCTCAATAAAAGTGATCATACTAATTTATTTATTGTTACCTCTATTGATTTTGGCAAGCTGAATCAAAGTCTGAATGATCGAAGTTCTAATGTAAGGAGGTTGTTGCATCGTACCGAGCTTTTATACCTTGGATTCGTATTTGTGAGTTGATTTCTTTGCTGGGAACCGTTTCTTCATCGAAGAATGATGGAAATATTATTTGTCGCCATTGTCGTGACGAATGTTGTATGTGGCATTCAAGTCCAGAGCTCATCCTGTATTCGCAGAAGCTTCCGCCTTGAGATGTCTTGTGTTTCGTCTAGTGGTTTTCGTTCTTATCATTCAGTTCGGCCGCACGTTTTGAACTATTGTGTTTCAGGCATGCGAGACAGTGGGGCATTACGTAGGGCTTGTTCTTTGTCCGATCTGACGAACCCGTGGATACCCCCAAGACGGATTCTACCGTCTCCACCTTCGCAGGGTATGTTTGTAAGCGTTCAAGAAAAAGTACTATGGGAGACTGTTACGGTCTGCACGGCAAACATCATAAAACCGGTGGAAGGTACGGGGATACTTCTTGATTCACTTTTTGTTGCTGGGTAATGCTTATGGCTTTATATTGTGGGGCGTGCGAGTTCTTTTAGAATGAATGATTTCGTGGTGCTGGCCTCACGCTTGTGCGGGTTTTCTGCAGAGGAGTTGGTGATGATTCTTCGAAGAAATTTGTTTTATTTGAGCTTCGGGACTAATTCTGTAGGTATGCTTGAGAACATTCTTTATATTGAAGATATTCATTCGTTAGTAATTTTTTCCAACATCTTCGTAATTGAGAAATGTGAAATGTTGTATGGGGATATTCGTATCATTTTTCTACTTTTATTGTGAAAGTACTCCGTGTTTTCTTGTGCGCAAAGACATTCCCTCTTCCTTCGTAGAAATCCTCGACCAAGTTCGCATATCCGGCCAGATTTATTCAACACACTGTGCTAATTCCCATGGAAAAGAGGTCTCTTTCTATCTATAAAAAAAAAACGGAAAACGGTGAATGATTTATTTCTTGGTGATTCTGATCCCCATTCGCTACTTGATCGTTTGATAGGAAGTCAAGATTAAATAACGTTCATAAACTTCAGAAAATCGTGGCATACACGGAAATTTAATCTACTATAGTCCAAAGGATGTGGGCATCTTTTCAATGAGTAAATCGAAAGTGTATGAATTGGACATTCAAAGTGAGCCCAGAAATGTTGAGTGCCCTGAATTTTGATGATGGTTCTTTTTTTCAATTATTGAAACTGTTTGCCTCAGCTGTTTTGTTCCTCCGGGCCCCCTAAAAAGCTACTTCTAGAAATTCGACGGAATTCGTTCAGTTTTCAAGTTCCTCGGCCAGCAGAGAACTTTGGCAGCAGTATAACTGCCAAACTGAATGTCAGGCTTATTTTATTGCAATTCAATTTCAGGCTTAATTTGTGCTCATTTCACTTGAATTTCAGGCTTAGTTTATTTCACTTGAATGTCAGGCTAGATTTATTTAACTTGAATTTCAGGCATAATTTATTTCAAATACATTTTTAAATGGGTGGAAACTCGATATTTCAATTCCTCTTTTTGTAGAATTAAATGATTCCGCTTTACTAGGTCATGTTCTGTTGTGGGTGGCTTCTGTGGTGGGTAGAACTGGAAGAACCGGAATTTTCGAAAGTTGTTTTCTTGATTAGGAGAAGGGATTCCACACAAGCTTGGGAACCGAAAAGTTCCAGCGATTCTACGCATTTTTGGTACCCCCCTCCGTATCCAAACACAGTTCCCTACTCGCTCATCAGTGCTTTAGGCGAAGATTCCTTCGATGCAACGTCAATGCATGCATTATTTACGGGGTTCGTATCATAAGGCTACTTCGTTACCCATGCGGTCAGGGTGCGTTGACCTGGGCTTCTTGTTTACGGTAGCGTGAATTGACGCATGCTCTTGGCCAACGCGCGTTGTTTAAGGTGCGGTGTCGTCGGAAACGGCTGTGTTTTTTGGTCTTCATTGGTTGCATGATCTTTTCTTTGTGCATGTGATGAGAGGGAATGCAGAAAAAATTTTCTCAAAATAATTTTTAGAAAATGACGAATTGTATGTGCTATACTGTTGTTCCATTGTAACTACACCCCCCCCCCCCCTTCACTGAAAGTTACACACATGAAATCTGATTTTTAGTTTTGCTTCATCTTACGAATACTAGTTGTAATTATAATTTTGCCTCAATCGGAAAATTTATTTTCAATGCAGGGGTACAATGTATTGTACAAAAGTAAATGCGGTATTACATCCTGCATTCTGTGAGTCATAATTATAGATTGAGCAATATTTTCATAGACTCATTTCGCCCTCTTCAGAAATTGAACAAAGCGAATTATCCTTGCCATGATATTTTTAGAATATTGTTTGATTTTAATGAAGCTATTTCTGGATGACCCTTGATACGCTAGAAAAAACTTCTCATCAAATGTTCAATTTTTCTGACATTCCCTCGAATCAATCGTTTGGTGTACGTGACAATGGCTGCGTGAGGTTTCATTTTTTATTAGCGTCGATTGAATTGATCGCGCATGCTTCTTATCATTTTTCAAGTGATCGATCGTTTCCTCGTTCTGGTAGGAAAATCTCATCGTTCCTCGTCCCGTGGAGCAGTAGAGGAACAAGGGCCGCTGCAGCGTGCGCCTTCCATGGGAACTTTGCAAAGCGTGAGTGTCGTTCGATGTTTTTTTCTTCTCGCTTTGTGATTTTGCTAGGATTTGAAATTTTTTCATTTTTCAGGGGAGTGGGAATTTCATGAGAAGCACATTGTCTTCTACCCAGAAAACAAGAGGTGGTAGTCAGAATGCTGGTGTGAATGAGCCGAGACGACGATCGAAAAGTCAAGTTATGTCATTGTCGCAGTCAATCGGGGACCTGCGCAACCGACGCGTGTTGGATGACGATTCTAGTTCGGAGGAAAACCTTGGCGCAGGGTAATCATCCATTTTTTACACTTTCTTCACGAAAGACTGTTCAGTACAGTATTTACTGATGCAGGAGTATAAGACGCCAGTGAATGAGGCTTTCTCTTTTGGACGAATATAAGATTCTTATTACCGATTTGTTTGGCATGAGAGGACTGCTCATAATTTTTTTTTGCGTGCTTCAAGTTCTTCTCAAAAGAAAGTCAAATTGAAGTCTGAATTTGATTCAACTCGAACGCCCTTAAACTGAAAAGTTTATTTTTCCCATGAATAAAACAAACTAATGCATAACCAATGGACTAAAACCAATTTCCCAAAAACAGGTTTCCAATTATCGTTATTATGAAATAATCAAATAAAATTAGCTGACTCAGTTTTAGTTTGTTTTGAAATACGGGTACTACAGTATGTTTTTTTTTTCATTTCCGAGAACACAAGTAGCTTTTTGTTTTTGTTTTTTTTTCCAAGAACGCAAGTGACTTTTTCTGTAGAGTAATTGTATACGTGGGCAAATTTCTATCTGAAGTATCTAGGAGAATGAATCAATGGAAACTTCATTTGTTTTGTATTTGTAGCGAAATGCAAAATGTTAGAAAATGTTCTGTCTGTTTTATAATCGTAAACCCTGAAGAAGGCATAAAACCATTTGTGGCAAAATTGTAATCAAAGAAGCGGATGATGGGTCAAATTTATTATTTTGCAGATAGATAGGTTCTAAATTTTGAGAGAGATTTTGTTCAGAGTTGATCATGCTTGTGTGTTCAAGCAAAGCCCCAGAAATGTATACAAATTATTCCCTAGAGTAATTGTATATATTTTCCTAATTTCAAGATGAAAAAATTGAGTAAATTTGTTAATTTACAGAAAACCTGCTCAAGTACTACAAAGTCGCCGGAATAACATCGGAGGAAGTGAACTGAATCTCGCCCTTCGTGACAGCCACGATAGCCGCTTATCTGCGGGAACCTCTGCCCGCTCTGTGCGGAGCTCAGCTCCAGACGTTCGAAAATTATCCAATGTGAGACGGAAGGGAACTCCTGGTAAGTTTCTCTACCTATCTGATGATCAGTAATTTCATTAAAATCCAGTTTTTTTGTGCATAGCTCTCCAAAGAAAGAACTCATATAATTTTGATAAATTCTCTTGTTGCGTATTTTTAGTCACGCGGCAGATATGCGATAAAGCAATGTCCGACCTGCGTTGCGTTACCCACAACGTTGTGCAGTTGTTCAAAAAGATAGAAGGTGACCCGGCGTGTGCTGAAAATGAAAAACGGGTCATGTTACACAACCTGGGACAAGCTGCGTTTGGGGTTTGTGAGGAGCTGAATCAAATCGTAGCGAAAGCAGACGTGGGAACTGCAGCGCTGTTTCCATCCCCGATTGCATCAGGGCCCGCCCTGAATCCAGCTAATAACTTGGCAGGTGAGTGCTGGTATTGTTCTTTATCTAGAAGCTTATCAAATTTTCTTGCATTAACTTGAGTGTTTTTGTCTTGTTTAAAGATGTCTCTGAATAATTATAATGAACAGATCAGTTCTTTTCAATCAAGTGCGTAACGTTTTGATACAATGACTTTTGTTGTCCTTTTTCTGTACTGGTATTTGTCGCCAGATTTTTCTACCGGTGTGTTAGGTTACGTTACATACAGTTAATAAAGAGTTGTTTCAATTACTGTATATTTTAGCGCAGTTCATCTTTGGTAAGGCTATACCAGGAGAAAGAGTCTTCGGAAAAGTGGACAAAATATGTTTGCTTACGATGTTCAGTCCGTGTTTGTTTATTCTGTCTGAAATTCTTTTAGTTCTTATATGGTTTGCCTCTTTTTCCAGGTCTGACAATGCCGATGGGAAATCCAGTCATGGTTCAGTTTATGCAACAGTTTGTATCAATGATGCAACAGCAGCCAGTTGCAGGAATGGAACAATTTCCTGCTACATTTCCTGACAAGAACAGGAACGATGGGCCAAGTTAGTTGGCTGCGGACGTTTGAAAGGGTTTTCTGTGATTTGGAAGAGAGCGGCCTTTGTGGGAGAATTTCGAGAGAAGAATTTTGTTCATGATCATGTCGCAATTGAAATAGCTGTTCTTCTGATTGAGGGATTCTCATGTGCTGAGGAGCTCACAGTTTCTGAAGTCTCGTGAATCTGATTCTGTCGCAATTGATTTCAATTGGCAAACAAATCGGTGCCATACCAACTGGCCTTTGTGATTTCGAATTCGATTGAAACTGCCCACCCTTCATCTTCCAGCAAAACGCAGTATTAGCGATTTTCATATGTTAATTTTTAGCTTATGGAGTACCTAATAATATTCCACAAACTCTTTGCTAACTTGGGAAAGCGTTGGGATTTGAAAAAGTCCTGAAAAATGATTTAGAGCGTTCGTTTTGCTGCTGCAGTTAGTTCAAATTAGCGTCTGCGTACTTATTTTGTTTGCTTCTTGCGGATTATTCAGACGTCACTTTGATCAACGAACGTTGTGATGTTCCAGCTTGATATTTGCGAGGACCATGATTTAAGCGTCGCTTGCTGATTGTGAAAACACCAAGCATTTCTGCCTGTCATAATCTTTGTGCCAATAGCTGCGATAATTTAGGGATATTTTATTCTTTGCTTCTTTTGTTATGAGAGGGTCGGCTTTGCTGTTTGGCCTGACGGAGCCATAGGAATGCTAGTGCCATGTTAGACCAGCGTATGCTCGCCATTATTTTATTATGCGGTTTATATTCAGTAAATTGTTTGAGTTGAATGATATTTAAATACAATCCAGAAGGATTTCTTAATGAATCTTGGCAAGGTATTCTTGATGAAGTTCATAATTGCATTGCCATATTGAATTAAATAATATTGGTGTGATTTTTGTTTTGTTTCGTGCATGTTTCCGTAAGCTTTGTTGATTTTCAAGTGTTTTGTTGGCTGTTAGATCATGATGGATATCACATTCAGAATATTGCTGCAACACTTCCGGAGTCGTTTTGGGAGTCAATGGCAAAGTTTTCTCGTCATTTGTTGATGCTTTTCATTTATTTTCCAACTGAAAAACCGTTTGCGTTGATTCGCTTTGATTTGTGGATGCTGAATGGAAAAAAGGAAAGGAAATATAATTTTAAAATCTAATTTTTTCATTTGATGTGCCTGGGATGCTGTTCATTTGAACCATTTATCGTTGTTCGCCTGCTTATAAGCACGTAGGATTCATGGAATGTAAGCTAAGGTGTAAGGCGTGGCAAACCTGAAAATGTATCCTCATAAAATAATTTTGTTGCATCTCACTATTTTAGCAATGAGCATGCTACGTTTTTTGAGAAATCAGACTGAAAAGCCGGGATAATGCGTTATAAAAAATAATCATTGGAGACAGTATATGCTTTACAATTACATCGATATACAGTATTTCTGCGTAATTCCAACGAAGTAATAAAAACAACCTTGATCAGATTTTGTGATATGGGGTGATGTATTGCGGGAAGGGCATAATCCGTGTCTAAGGAATTTCAATGACTGCATAGTTGGACCAGCATATACTGTAATTTTACTTGGGATGTTTCATTCTCATGGGCTATCATTAAGGCGGTCCCCATTGAGGAATACAGTAATACTGCAGCTTCTGGTCCTGGACGTGCACACACTATCCCTCGGGTCACAACGGCGTCAACGATGCAAGGTCCACAGGACAACGACTGAGGGAGTATATAGATGAGAAATGAAGGACCTCAACTAGGTCGCAATTGAATAAAATAATCTCCGGGGGCGACTCCGCTCCCCCTCATCCGATCATGTCCTTCCAATCCGGTGTGGGCGGCACAGCGTACTCCCCCAAAATCGTACTCCAGGAGTACACCCTGCCTAGGCAGGATGCACTCCAGGAGTACACCCTACCTAGGCAGGGTGTACTCCAGTGTGCGCTATGCCGTCTGGCGGGTCTGTTCAAATCCGCGGAGTGAAGTTCCATGGTGAACACATGCAGTAGTTCTTTCAATGAAATTCAGAGGAGAGCCAATTCCATCTGGTTGCAATGAATCTTGTTGATGCTTTGGAGAAATGTCTTCTTCAGTCCCTGCCCCAACTGCCACATTCTTATTTAAATTTCTTTTTGACAAATTTTTGTATATGACAAAGCTTTTTCAAGGTCCAAAACTCTTTCTTGTCCAAAGTTCTACTGTACTTTTGCATTAATTATTAACTAACATAACCTGACCTTATAATTGGGGTAAAGAGGATTAATTTTTGAGAACCACACATGGATGCTGCTGATAACATTCCATGTGTTGTTCTTAGTGACATCTATGAGGGCATTGGTTTGGGCATGGCTCCCCCCAAGTGGGATAGCTCCAAGGCCTCCCTGAAAATAGATTTCCGCAGAATTCATCATTATTTTTGCCAAAGTAAATGCTGCTTCAAGAATCACTGTGGAATCAACTTTCCTCTGAATGCTGTGGAAGATACCACTGCCTAAGTGATCACTGCAGAAGAGGCTCTGCTGAATCGCACTCCGCGGATGNTGTCACTTCATGAAAGTGAATCGAACGAAGAAATGAAAATGTTTTTAAAGGAGAAACCCAGAAATTACTGCGGACAGAACATTTCACATTTGATTGCTGCCCCTTTTTTAGCAGCTTTCCAGCAAAACAAGCTGGGGGTGCCCAGCCACACCTGGGCATCATGTTTGTAATTTTACAAATATTAAAAAAATTCACTACAGATCAGGGTACAATATATGTGAAAAAGGTGGTGCACAGCCACACTTATGCATCATTGTCAATATGGAAAGAGTTTCAAGATTTATATGCTTACTGCTGGCTATATGTTGACAGTTCATCTATAATTTTGCACTTTTGTTCAATGCATCAGATGTGAGCCATAATAACTGGCTCAGGAGCAAGGGAGTTTTTGTTTATGTTATGCCCTAGATCTCATGTGTGATGCCCCCTCTTGTCAATGCACATGATGCACATGAGCATTTTCATTTTGTCCCTTGTTATTTACCCAAGATCACAAATTCAGATGTAGGAGCATTTTTTCCATATTTTCCAGGCCATTGTGTAGGGTTTTCAAAGGTCACCTCCAAACACCCTGATGTGTGTATCTTTATGTCCAGTTCATGTAAGCAGTGCTTCATTCAATACTGGTCTTCATTGAGAAAATGCCATGGTCAAAAATTTCTTTGTTAGGCTATAGGCATGAGGTACAGATTGGTAAGAGGTCCAATCCTTTCCTGTGGCATCTCAAAACTTAGCAAATTTAAAAAAGGAAGAAGCATTACTTCAACCTTACCATACTCTTTCTTCAGTGAATAGTGCTCCATTTAAATTCATAATTTTCCAAGAATCCTACACTCCTGAATCTCAATAAAAAAAAATGGGTGACTGAGCCTTTCCCTCAGTCACCACTATCAAGACCCATTCTGGATTAACTTGAAAAAAATGTTAACCCATCCATTTTTCTTTGATTTGAAAATTCAAACAAAAATGTATACCTTCAGTAGTGGAGCTCAGTTCTGTATTTTGGCAGAAAAATCCCTATAGAATGTTGATTGAATGGGGCAGGTCCCCTGATGTAAACACTTTTTTTAAGGGATTCTCTGTTGATTTTTGTAAACATTTTTGCATCTTTGATGGAAAATTCAACTCAATGTCAGAAAATTGTACAGCTAAAATTAAGAAAGTAAAACTAATTTTTCAAGATTTTTGTAGTTTTGTAAAATCATTTTGTGCCTTTCACTGTAATTTTGTCAATATCCAAGTAATGTCCAAATTAAAATAAATATAAAATGTGGCAAACATCATGGTGCTTTTTTAAAAGCTTTGAAAAGTAATTTTGATGAAGAATTGAATTTTTGCAAAATTTTGAAAGTCCACAAAACAGGAAAC